AGGAATAGCCAAATAGGAAATGTTGCCAAAAACGTTATGCTCATCTGTGAATGTAAGGGTCGCAGATTGTGATGAATGACGCTCTGAAATGCACATATGGGACTAATCTTGGTAATAAAAAAAAATGAAATAAAATAAGAGAATAGAGTGCAGAAGATGAAGGGTCCCTTTACTTTCTGTCTCACGCGAGTCTCACTTCCAACTGTTTCCCAAATAACCCGTGCTTTTGGGTTTTGAAGTATCAGTATGAGGAGTTTCCTTAAATGCTTCTCCAGTCAACCATTTTATTGCAACGATGTCAACAACTGGACTCAATCTATCAGCAGTAGCCCTACCCAATGCATACAAGCTATGATGCAAAAGTTCCAAGACTGAATTGTTATGAGTCTGTTAACATCACAGTTAATATTGTTATGTTATGGGTTGATATATTAGACTGTTGGGTAGTGCTGTGTGAATCCTCATCTGACCAGCATCGTGAATGAGAGATTGGTTGGCAATGTAGCAGCTCAATGTGTAAGACGTCTGTTGTATTCCCAGAGTGAGGCAAAGCTACATCAAGTTTTGTCTCAAACCAGGGAATAAAGCTGCAGCGATCCATGAAGTGTTGCAATAAGTGTATCGACAAGTTACCTTGTCATATTCCAAGAATTTCGAATGATTTTCAATGCTTTCAGCAAGTAGAGAAGACATTGAAGATAAGGACTGGTGCGACCATCCCTTGGGTGAATCATTGGTGGTGGTTGGGGTTTGTGGTGAATCTTAATATCCAGCAGAGAGCCTCTAGGAGTTCTTGCTGTCGTAACTGATAAAGGCAAAATGCTGAGTACATAAAGAATGAGGGGAGAAGCAGTGCGGTAATGACGCCTCAAAGACGGTGTGCGTGATCTGCACAAGAAGCTCGTTCAGATCCTTCCAGAACCAAATAATTGTCATATGAAGCACAATTCCAGTTATTAAATGTTAAAAAAAATTGCTGACGTTAGAAGCAGGCATATTCATTCAAACGTAGGCGAAGCTTTCCGCTGACAAAAACATCCAGGCGAATGGTAACGGAACCAGAGGTGTGCATCGGGCGGTCTTCACCACGGTTATCCGCGGCCTACACGATGCGGTGCGGTCAATGGGTGGTAAAATACAATGCGGTTGCGATGCAGTGCAGATAAAATTTAAATCTTTTAACTCATTTTTTTCAAAAGTAATTCTGTGAAATATGCCTTCACAGAATTACTTTGAAAAAAAAATAAAAATATTTCAATTTTATCTGCACCGCATCGCGACCGCATTGTATTTTACCACCCATTGACCGCACCCAGGGCCGGATTAAGATGTTGCTGGGGGAGCGCCCTGATTCTCTGTTGAGCATATCCCACATGTGCTCAAAGGGATTTATTGTTTTTATAAATGACTTTATACAAGTCTAATGACTGTATCAGTCAAATGTGTCGCTGTGGTGGATGTTGGAATTTAGGGAATATTTTACCACCAACCATTCGGGGCGGGAGGCCAGATTTCACATTTGAAAAGCTGACAGGAAGATTTGGGGCTCTCCTTAACCCTCAACTGTTTTTTTTTTTCATTGTGTAACTGGTATCGTGGGATCAATAAAAGATTTTACATATGAAAAAACTGAGATTTGGGGCTTTCCTTGTCCTCAACTGGTATCCCTGTTTTGTTTTTGTTTTTTTTTTTTTTTTTTAATTGTGTAACCAGTATCGTGGGGTCAATTTGACCTCAGCAATAAAAATCTCAAGAAAATGAAATTTTTTTAGACGAAAAGTCTGAAAATTCATTTATCGTGGCAGTTTCTTTGCCAACTTCACTGCAGTGAAGCAGCATGGTGGTAGCATATTCCTAGGACTAACCCTGACGCATCGGTAATTGCTAAATATTAGTTGCAATTGCAGCACCATATCCAAATGTACCAGAAGCCGCACGTTGTGAAAATGCAACGAGAAAGCATCCCCCTAATAGGGGTATGGTACAGGGCCGTATCTAGGATTTCATTTCGGGGGGGGGGGGTTGAGGTCTAGCGTATGGGCTGTGGCAATTTTTTAAATACTTTTCATTTTAAGTCTTTGTGACATATCTGGATTTTCCCGTAAGCTGTAGTGTTTAATAAGTCATAAGCTATTAAAGATAGAAAAGACCAAGTACTGCACCGTTTACACCAACGATTAGTACTGCACCGTTTACACCAACGATTAGCAGTATGGCAAAAATTTAAGGAAGATATTTCGGGGGGGGGGGGGGGGGGGGAACCCCAAGAACCCCCCCCCCCAAATACGGCCTTGGTTCTGCACCGTTTACACCAACGATTAGCAGTATGGCAAAAATTTAAGGAAGATATTTCGGGGGGGGGGGGGGGGTTGAACCCCATGAACCCCCTCCCCTAAATACGGCCTTGGTATGGTATACCTTGTGTATCAGTCGCATTTGACTTTCCTTATGTTTAACATGATTTTTCTTAAATTCCGACATCTACCACAGCAACGCATTTTACCTTCCTCATGTCGTTTTTGATACTCTCAAGCAGCTCAGGGACACATTTGACTGGGAGGGCTGTGTGCTGTCCACTCCATGACTTGAAGATACTCCCTGACAATGACGGCGACATGGGGTCGGACATTATCCTGCATTAATACAGGGTGTATCAGAGAAGAATGACTCATTTGAAATTTACAAGAGAAACTTGTTTGCTGGTCATTCTCATTATTTTTGTAGGTTAATATTCTCCAAGGTTAGAAGATTTATCTGCCATGGAAAAATTGAAAGTAGCTTATCGTACAAAGATTTTGGTACAGTTTTTCGCAATATTCTGTGTCGATTTAGTGCATGTTCCAACGTCCTGCAAGAGGTGACAAGCTGACTCGGGCGGGCTGCGCTGAATTACCATTGCTACTGCTGCTATGGTTTCTGATGTTCATGCTGTTCGTATTCGTCTTGATCTTTTTGCGTCGCCCACTGATCCTGAATCAGGGAAATTTTTGACGTACCGCAATATTGTGTTGCGAGATGGCGCATCTCTTGACTCCTAACTTACGTCAAAACGAACGTAGTGCTTGGACAATGGAGCCTGCTGTAAAAAAGTAACACAATCCTCATATGATAACATACTTCCCATTTTTCTATGGCAGTTAAAACTCCAAACCTTGCAGAATCAACAGCAACAACAAAAAAAATTTGAGAATGATCGACAAACAAGTTTTTCTTGTGAATTTCGAATGTATCAGTCTTCTCTGATACACCCCATATAATTTCTGGATCAACTGCACCAGCGTAGGGGCGTATGTGTGCATCGAGAATCTCGTCGATATACAGTGAGAGAGCCACCGGGAACGACGACGAGGTCCCTCCATCCAGGTTTATGCCGCCACATATCATTATCGAGCCTCCTCGGAAACTCTGCGCTTCTTGAACGGTATTTGGGAAATACCGCTCACCAGGCTGAAGCCATACTGGATCAACGCGTCCACCGTTGTTTGATAAGCGGAATCTCGATTCCTCGGTAAACAACGCGTGGCTCCAATGACGTAGTTCCGAATTACGATGTTCACGGGCAAACTCGAGTCTTGATCTTCGCTGCACAACCGTTTAAGCTTGAACTTTTGCTGGTCTTCTGGCTTTGTAACTAGCTTCATGAAGCCTATTTCTAACTGTTTGGTCAGAAATATTCACTTCTGTTGCCATTTGAACTTCTCTCTGAAGGTCTCGAGCAGTAAGGGTGCGACATGACGCAAGTGTGACTATAAAGCGGTCTTGCCGTGGGGTAGTTCCTCAACTAAGACCCTGTCCTGATCTGTTATATTCTCCAGTGACCTGGTACCTCGTCCATAATCTGGAAACGACAGATTGGAATACTTCCAGGATTCGAAGGGCGTAACGTTCCGAGCCCTCTTCCTCAAGCATTATTACATTATCACGTCCCTTTCAACTAAGTGCCTTCTCACACTTTCACTAATTCTTTGTAAATTCCCCATGACCTTTTCAATATTTGTGTTTTGGTTAATGGTCGCATAGAGCCTTTGCGAGAAGAGCAAATTCTTGTATGCTAAGGAATCAGGATAAAAAGTTTCACCGCTCCATATCAGCTGTTTCGATGCTAGTGCGCTGAAAAATACACACACGTACGACGAAGTGAAATTTTCTGTGGTAGTCTGCTTTTTTTCACAGGTGTTATATGTTAAGCTTTCAGTCGGTAAACCTTCGGCTTGCTCCACTCCGGTTTGAATGAAGCGAATATTGATGCTGTTTCGAAGCAATTCAATTTGAATTCTTGCATGCATGCCTTATATATTTTAATTTTGGACAGATAATGCGACTTCGTCCCTCTGTATCCTGTACAGGAGGAAAGCGGTTGACATTCATTAGCAATTGAATGAAGATCGTGATATCTAAAATAACCCATCATAAGGAAATGAGTGAAAGTTTTAAAAAATGGCAGAGAACTTGGAGATGATCTTATATCGGTGACTTGGGTGCACGAAGGTCCCCAGCGGGGAATCAGAGATGCTCATTGCGCGTTGACTCAACCATAAAATATTCCGTTCTTTCATCGTTCCCTGGCTACTTGGGTACCTAACCAGATTAGAATGCTCTCATTTTTACGCTACCTCATCATCCATGATGACCATTTGTTGAAAATTCACTAGAACACGGACTAATTTGGGGTTTCCATTCCAATTTGCCAATGACTACAAAGAAAGGTTCAGAGTCCTGAGGTGAGACTTGTATTATTAATACAACATGCATAAGCCCCAACAACTCCGTACTGATAAGACTCCAGCGAGATAAGATAATCTCCCCGGATGCAACTTGACTCACCTTATCTCGCGTTTTGGATTATTCTCATAGTTAAGGTTCGTATGCTTCACCCTTGGCAAGTTCTTTGTTTGGCGTTTCATTGCAGCAAGTGAAAGCATCTGCCCCGAGTTCCACGATCAAGTTTTGATCCCTTGCAGTGGAAGATGAGACATTTCACTATAAGCGTAATGACAGCAATGTTGTTGGGTTTACTGGCTAGCGTGAGTGCCTTCAAACTGTTCGGATCTCCACAAGATGGCATAGACCTATGTCAAGATAATCCGTATAATTGTTCCCCATGCCCTGACCACTCACTTTCCGGAAGAGACGAAGGATTGGTCTGCTCGAAGAGGAACATAGCAGAACTCGTTGAAGCCATGAATGTCCCGCCTCACATCCAAAGATTGGATTTCTCCCAAAATGAGATTAAGCTAGTGCAGGACGGAGCCTTCGCTGTCGTTGGCTCTGTCAAAGTCCTCGATTTTTCACGAAATAACCTGGAGACCATCGATCCCTACGCCTTCGCCGAATTCGATGAGTTGGAGCGACTGTTCCTGTACAAGAATCAGCTGATCAAACTCGAAGAAAATACATTTCTAGGTTTAGATTCTTTGTTGGAATTGGACGTGAGATCTAATAACATCAGGACCGTTGGGGAAAACACGTTTCAAGGCATTCCCCAGCTTAAGAAATTGGATTTCTCCTACAACTTCTTCGATGATGTAAAATCCCTCCGATTGTCTCCTCTCAAGTCCCTGGAAGAACTGAATCTTCAAGGGATGGGAATCAAGGATTTCTCCTCCGAAGACTTCATAACCCTGGAAAAACTTCGAGTTCTCGACCTGAGTCGAAATGGATTCAATGAAGTACCGGCAAGTGGCTTGGAATCGATTAGAGACAGTCTAGAAGTCTTGGATCTGTCAGGAAACCCAATAACACGAATTAGGGCCGGAGATTTCGAACATTTCTCGTCCTTGAAGGTCCTTCGGTTGAACAATATGCCGAATTTGAAGGCTGTTGATGGTTTCGGGTTCGATGGACTGTTTAAGATCGAGATCTTGGAGATGACGGGAAATCCGGTATTGAGTTCTATCGATAACTCGGCCTTCAAGAGTGCTGATGAAGTGAATCATGAGAGATTCATCGCCCCGGCGACTCTTCGTCTCAACCACAATCAGTTGCACGTTTTGAGTCCCAACCTTATCCCTTGGGAATCCGTTAAAGAACTAAACCTTCAAGAAAATCCCTGGCGTTGTGACTGCCATGCCTCTTGGATGCTAGATCTTCCCATCCCTGACCCATTCAAACTCGATTTTCGGTGAAATTTTATTCTCTTTATTCTATGGAACTTATTTGCCAAATACTTTATTTTTTTGTATTTTCCATGCAGATGCAAGAGTCCGAAGAACATGGAGGGTCGGATCATCAAAGAACTCCAAACAGATGACTTTGACTGTCCTGAGACGTTCTGGCAGAGGGAACGAAGTCTTTTCCTACTCAGCGTTGTCTTCCTCTTTCTCACTTTCATCATCATGCTTATTTACATCACCCTGAGGAGTGGCATTACCAAGAAGCTTTCTCCACGTCGCCAATACATCCAGAACCGGGGTTATTCCCGGGTTAAAGGAGGGAAAGACTCCGTGTATTTGGAATGGGCCAATCCGGATCAGTGATCCCTTAGAATCACAAAGTGACACGAGGCTGATTCCTCCAACTTTCTTCGTTGCCACCGTCGTGATCGTGTCGTCTGAAGACAAATGGAGAAAGAGAGTGAGATTGTTGAATCAAAAACTCCCATATAGTTTGTGCAGATGCAAAATCATTTGTAATAAAGTGATGAGTGATTCGGAGTAGTAGAGCGTGGTCTAATTAGGAATCGTAGAGAATATCGTCTCGGTCCACTGCAAGAATTTTAACATAGTGTTCGTAATCGATGGTCTCGTCGTCATGAGACAGGGCTGCCGAGAGCATTTCTTCCATCTCTTGACTTGAGAAAGCTTCCCCCTGGCTTGCCATAATTCCGGATATTTCCTCCTTTCTCAGATATCCTTTTCCTTCTGCATCCAATGTCTTGAAGGCCTGCAACATTTTTCCAGGCTCTACCGGAAGGAACCTAAGATGAATGCAGGCAATTAGTCATTCTGGTTCATTATTTGCAGGATGTCATTCATGGTGCGTTTCGCTTTACTATCATATTGAATAGCGTCTTTTTAGTATTGGAGTGCTTTTTCATCGAGCCTATCAGTCTATCAATTGTCTGGTCATCGAAGCATGTAGTCCCGAAACCCATCTCGCTCATGAACAAGGAGAAGCGAAATTAATTTTTTTTTATTCCGAGAGTAGAAAACCTCGATCAGTTCCCTGAGGACTGCACTTGGAAAGAAATCCCTGTGATTCGTGATGTATGGGAAGATAATCGTGATCTATCTGATATCTATATGTATAAAGACGATCGTGACTGACTGAGTGAGTGACTGACGCTAATTCTAACCATGTTCTAGAGAAGTTAGAAATCAGGAACTTGGTACACATGTACCTTATGGGATGCAGAGTTCAGAAAAAAATCCGACTTCGGAGGTACATGCCCTGGGGGCACCCAATTTTGGGGGAACATGTTTTCAAACATATATATTTACTTCAGTCAAACTGAGAGACATGGAAAGCTGAAACTTGGTACGGACATGCCTACTGAGACACCAAGTTCAGGAAAAATGTAAAGTTTCTGATGTATGCCCTGGGGACATATTTTTTGGGGGTGACGTTTTCAATAATTTTTTTTGTCCTACCGAATTGGGCAGAGATAGAAAGGTGAAACTTGAGACATTAGTACCTATTGGGAACCTGAATTCAGAAAAATTAAGACTTTGGAGGAAAATGCCCTGGGGCACAAATTTCAAGGGGAGATGTTTTCAAATACTTTTTTTTTTGCTTTAGTCTAAACGGATAAACATGGAAAAGTGAAACTTGACATGGACGTGCCTACTGGGACTCTGAGTTCAGGAAAAAAATGTCAAGTTTCGGATGTATGCCCTGGGGGCATATTTTTGGGGATGACGTTTTCAAAAAAAAGTTTTTGTCCTACCGAATTGGGCAGAAATAGAAAACTGAAACTTTCACACCAAGAACTGGGGTGAGTTCATAAAAATTCAAATTTTCTGGTGCATACCCTCAGGGCACAGCTATTGGTTGCATCGGCTTTTCGAAAGATATTTATGCACCAGCAAAAAGAGCAAATGGATAAGACTGAAACTTGGTAGGCACGTAGTTCTCCCTGTACTGACTTCAGTAAAAATGTTAATTTTTAGGTAAAACTCTTGAGGGCAAATTTTTTTTGCAAAAGGCGCATTTTCCGGAAACTTTTCTCATCCAATGAAAGAGAGAACTAAAGAAAATTGAAACTTGGAGCATAAGTACCTGTTTGATTGCTGAGTGCATATCCTACTTTTAAAATATGACCTCTCAATTATTTTGATGAAAATATCGGTTCGTTCTCTCTCGGCACACATTTTTAAAGGCACATACTTTTAATACGTTTTTGCCACTTTGAAAATAAATTAATGAATGAATCACTAACCTTGACAATGGAGCGCCGAAGGCACGACCATAGCCATATAGCGCGCCCATAGCGCGACCATATAATATACAGTATACTATGTTATGCCCAAAGGTTGCCCAAGTTAGACACGGGTGTAGGACAAAACGGCCCCGGACGAAATGGCCCAGGACATAATGGTTCCAAATGCAATGTAGGACATAATGGCCCCACACACCAGAAAACCAGCTTCTTTGAATAATGATTCATTTTTCCCTCTCAGGTGTTGATATGCTGTTCAAATTCTGTCGGATGCATGATTGTAAACTTCAAAGTTTCTTGAATCATGAAATGAAATTACTAATCTATTAAAATAATTATAATTCATAAATTTAAAAAATTCAATGAATGCAATTTTATTTGAAGTACAACAAATACTAAAATCGGATGGTATGACCAACTCCATGCAGGACCTCCTCCATGGATTTAAATCCCTCTCCATACTGGGTGCAAAGTGTTCTCAGCCTCTGCTGCATTTCCTTGTACGCTTCTGCCTCTTCTTGGGGGGATTCCCTTCAGTTTCTTGCAAAATTGCGTTGTTTGACCTTATTCAAACCAATAATACACACTCAAGAATGAATAAGATATATTTCGGCAAGTAATGCTACCACTTAGGTATAACAGGATGATAAAATATAAAATACTTACCATGCACACAATCACCTATTCCACGGAAGAATAACAGATCTTCCTTCTTCTTTCTTCTGTACTCCGTAAACGTATGAATATTTGAGTAGACTGAAATTGTTATTTTATACAAATATAGCTGCAGTAAAAGTGAAAGTGAACTGATGATCATCAATGAAGGCGGTTGGGCGCTGCTAGTGCTGATTGAAGGATCAGAGGATTAGAGGGTAAATAGGGTGGGATGGGTCAAGTAAAATTGCATTAATCTAATAAATTGTGTTAATTAACTATAATTATTTTAATAGATTTTAATAATTTGAACAGCATATCAACATCTGAGAGGGAAAAATGAATCCTTATTCAAAGAAGCTGGTTTTCTGGTGTGTGGGGCCATTATGTCCTACATTGCATTTGGGACCATTATGTCCGAGGCCATTTCGTCCGGGGCCGTTTTGTCCGGTTCCCGCTATAACATGCACGAAACTCGACCAAGCCCTAGCTTGAATTGATTCCATTGATATCACTCAGCCGTAAAAACTGATGCTGTTTTTTCCTCGTATGCTATGATCCAAACTTGTGCTCTGATTCCAGAGCTGGATCAAGGTTTCGTCTCCCTGGATATGGCTTATCTACAGGATTCATTTTATTATCCTCCGGGACATTAGAAGTGTGCTCCATCCTCGAAATCCTTTGTTCCTCTTTTGAAGGAAAAGTTTCACCTCAGGTTCAGTTATATGTTCAGAATGCTAGTTTCAAGAAAAGCAGTCTCCCCTTCGTTAGCTTCCTCCTGTGGATTGTGACGATCCAGGACCTCTCCCCCTCCTGGCTGACCTTAACGGATATACTATATGCAGGGTATCAAGAATCAGGTATCAGGAAGAATGCAGGTTCTAGAAGGGGGACACCTTAAATGCTCAAAAGGGAATTACTGAAATGAGTTCAATTAAAGGCCACCTTATACCCTGTATATATCCCTGGCTTTAGGTCAAGCTGATTACAACCTTAGGTGCTAATCTCTTTCCTGCGCATTCTACATTCAAACCATTTCTCAAGAGGACCTTGCACCTGTTTTCGGCAATGATTCGAGTCATGATCGGAAGGAATCGCTCAAGATGGACGGAACCTGGGGTCTCCTGATCCTCCAATTCCAGCAATATGGAGGTCATTTCACTCTCCGAAGGGCAACATCCTGCACAAAGTGTATCATTTCAGTAGAGTTCCTGCTCTACATTATCAATCATTCCATTTGAAAGCAAACCTTACTACCAACTCACCTAGGGAGCGAACAATGACGGCGACTTCTCGGGAATCCACGGCCTTGATATTTTCTTCGTCAAATACCAGGAAGGCAGCCGTGATCCGCTGCTGGACATCCTCGCTCACCCCAACTGACAAAAGACAGTGGCAAACATTACCAAGTACGGTACCTTGGGCACCGTACTGAGGTTCGAGACCGAACGAAGGTTAAGGAGGGGCGATCTCATCCAGGCTTTCAAGATAATTAAAGGAATAGATAATGTCGAGTGTGGTAGGTTTTTCCAGTTTGATGACAGCAAGAGAACGAGAGGTAACCGACTTAAGTTGCGCAAACCGCAGGTGCGGCTCAGGTCGAGACAGGAATTCTTTACTTGCAGAGTGGTGAACGCGTGGAATGCGTTAGATGACGAAGTAGTGGCTGCCCCTTCTGTGACTATCTTTAAGAAGAAACTAGATGCTTTCATGGACAGGCAAAAAGGTGGGGGCAATGTTGACGTTAGGTACTAGACAGTAAGCAACTAGGATAGTCAAATAACAAAAAAAAAATACAAAAATATATAGCTTTAAGAGGGTTAGGCCTACCCTAACATTACGGAACGCTCGACCTCGACACGTGATATCGAAATGGGCGAAATCGCCTCTTGATATCACTAACTATCTTGAATCTTGAATCTTGAGTCGGTCCCCGCCAGCTCAAATTAAACCAGGAGCCGATATGAATACGATAAATATTTTATTAAATTTTGGAATTTTGTTACTGAGGAGGGGAAAACTTATCAGAAGACATTGGTCAATTCCCATTCCTTCATATCGAGGGAAAACTTATATTGCAGGATAAATATTCCAGTTATGCTGTATTCAAAATTTTATGGGATGCACTTTTCGCATATGTATCAGTTTTCCATTCAAAACGCTAAGAAAATTGGGATTGAACACAAGAAGCTCCTCTTACAGTCCCAGGAATGTCTATGAACTGATGGTTCCAGAGCAATCAATCTCAAAGAGGATACACCACATCCCCAGACGCACAGAAAAGCGTGACCGGCAAAATGCGTCTGGGGATGAGGTACGGAGTTCTCGAAGCTTTGATTGAGACGTATCGAAAGTTTTCCAAGTTCTCTTCAAAGAACTGCAATATCTTTATTTTTTTAATGATTGCATCATGAATCACTGGATGGAGATTCTCGAAACAGAATTGCAGATCTGTTCACTCACTGGATGAAAGATGGATGGAAGTGAAATTAGCCACTGAAGCAATTTTTCAAGATTTCCAAATTTCCCGTTTAGATGTGACCATGACAGCTTTCAATTACCCCTTTATTCAGGCTGCTGCAGACGCTGATAGACATAGTCCAAGTCCAAAGTCTCAACAAACTTACAGTGTTGGGCGGTGACGAAGTAAAAGTAACGCGCTACAGTAACTAAATTTTTTCAGTAACTTTTTTGGTAACGAGTTACTTTTCATGGGAGGGTAATGGAACTGGTAACTACAGGGTGTTAAGAAAGTTGTGTCCCATCACAATATGCTTATTACCTCGGCAAAAATTAAAAAATCAGAAATTTTTTAAATACATAATAATAAGGACAGTTAACTGATTTAGAATCACTTAATAGTTTTCAATATAGCCACCCTTGGCAAGGATGACAAGGTTCAGACGACCCATAAAAGCATTGACTGATTTTCGCAAGACTTCTTGTGGAATTCGCCTCTCATTCTTGGTTCAGGGATAGCTTGAGATAATCCAAAGAATGGCATTTTGTAGCTCATCCTTTGCTCTCTAAGATGGACAAAATTGAAAAAAAAAATCCGATTATTTTTCAAACCACTCAGCATCGAGGGGCAGCTTCTGTAATGGTCTGGGCTGGGATTACCACTTCTGGATGCACTGCACTCGTTTTCGTGCCTGAGAAGATGAAGGTCAATGCTGGAGTATACCGGAAAAGCATCCTGGAAGACTGCCTGGTTCCGTTGGCCACAAAATATTTCAATGGGGGGCAGCTGGGTCTTTCAGCAGGACTCAGCGCCAGTTCACAAGGTGCAGATGACCCAGGAGTGACTGCGGACAAATGTCCCCGACTTCATTTCAACTTCACAATGGCCCCCTTACTCCTCCGATGTCAACCCCCTCAATTTTATTATTTGGTCCATCTTGGAGAGCAAAGTGTGTGCTACAAAGCATCGTTCTTTGGATTCTCTCAAGCTATCCCTGAACCAAGAATGGGAGCAAATTCCACAGGAAGACTTGCGAAAATCAGTTGATGTTTTTATGGGTCGTCTGAACCTTGTCATCCGTGCCGAGGGCGGCTATATTGAAAACTATTAAGTGATTCTAAATCAGTTAACTGTCCTTGTTATTGTGTACGAAAAAATTTTCCTGATTTTTAACTTTTTGCTGAGGTTATAGACATATTGTGATGGGACACAACTTTCTTAACACCCTGTAGTTCCTTTTTCATGGAAAAAGTATGTGGCGTTACTATAACGCGTTCTTTTTCTTGATGATTAACTAATTTTATTGAAAACAACCAACGCTTCATGACTACATGCATCCTAATTGATGCAAATTGGGAGGAAAGGCGAGGGCATGAAATTGCCTTGAGAAACCATGGTTTATTCAGTGCAGGTTTCTTGGCCATACCTGCAAAAATATTTCGAAGAGCAGAAGGTTAGGAACGAATTTGAGGGTTCCATCGATGCAGTGGCGTATTTTACGGGGGAGGGGGGGGGGGGGGCAACAGGGGCAGCCCATCTCCCCCTGGCGCCCCCTTAGAGGTAATCCTTTTCTCTCCCGATATCGCTCGGGTGGGGTTTGGCTCTATTGCCCTGNTTTTCCCCCCCCCCCCCCCCCCCCCCCCCCCTCTGACCCTTCAGCCAAAATACGCTGCTGCATCCATGTAAACTTATGTGTGAAGTGCTCTCTATGTTTACTGATGACCAAGGTACTTCCGTCGCACGAACTTCAGCATCTAACTTGAGGAAGCATGTCTAGATTAGCTCCATCGTGTCCTGACTTCATACAGAAAACCTTTGGTCTAACGTTATGTTTTAATGATAGGTGTTGCTTTGGCTCTGATACCTATCGTATGCCTAACGCTGGCACCTCTCTCCTCAATTTTGTCCGATCCCCTTTAGGCTCGGCCATCTAGCTATCTCCGGCTAGCTGTACCCTAGCTATCTCCCCATATTTAAAAAAAAAAAATTTCACTATCATCAATATCACTAAATGATGCAAAAATGAATGAGTCTTTAATCTGACCTGAATATAACTGGATAGCACTTTTCTGCCTTGGCCTAATCTGGGGGTCTTATTTCCGAGTGGCTTTTTTTCCTAAACCCCGGTCTAGGTCTCAGTCGAAACGCGTATCCTGGGATACGCGCGTCCAACTCTTTTCCAAGCAATTTCTCACGTAATTTCCGACAATCCTTGTCACCACGCTCTTTTAGCATTTATCCTGGGTAAACCCCCCCCCCCCTTTTATCTGCCTAGATAAAATATTAAGTGTCACTTTCTGATAGCACGTGCGCTGTCGCGTATATACATTTGATTGATTCAGCTTAGGGTTTCAATACGCGATACAACCATACAGGGTAGGGCAAGAAAGTTCGCCCTTTTTCATATGAAGTCATCTTCGAAGTCACTCCCTCCTGGATTTGGTTAATAAATACTCTACCACCATCTGGAATAAGAAGGAAGGGCATGCTTATTTTATGGCCTGAGTTTTTCTTCCACACTACAGGACAATGTGCCGCATGGATCTAGGGAGATCGTAAGAAACCCACTCCCAGGCAAGGGAGACTCAAAAGGGGTAGGTTGAGCCAGGGGCAAGAAAGATATTTCACGCCATGCCATTATGGACCGACCCCAGACAGAAGCTGACTCGGAGAGAGGCTAAGTCAACCCTAACGCTCTCTACCCATAAAAGCATTAACTTCAACCTTCTTTCCAACGATAACAGAGTTTTAAAAGGACCTCTAGCATCCCTGAATCAAAATACACGAGAAAAAAATTATACTCGTATGGCCCCGCCTTAAAAATTTTCATATATCTTTTTTCTTTCGATGTGATTCATTGGTCACAAGCTGCCCATCTTTATCATAGCCCACGACTCTTCCCCTTCCCTTTGACTAGGTCAAGGCCTAAGGCGATTTTCCCTTTCCTGTGCACTCCAAGTGGAGCGAAGACATGACCTTTGTTTAAATCTACGCTGTTGATATCTTTCTTCATGTGACATTAGGCCTCTGTTCAGGAACATCTGAACATATGCCAGCGTGTGATTCGAATAAACTAACATCGTACTTTTCCATTTGAAGCTGAATGAGATGAATGTTGGCCCCGATCCCCCTGAAGCCATAATTAAACGGAACGGAACGGAAGTACGTCACGTACGCGTGAACAATATACGCTCTATGGCGTGAACACAATGCAACATGCGGGGCGCATGTTGCATGTTGCTCATCGCATCCACGTCGCGCGCCTTCCTCAACAAGGGCTTCGCTTCAAATCCCCCCTCCAGTCACTAATAAGGTTGCGCATGGGATTTATTTAGGTACGGTTCTTGGAGGCAACTGCTAACTGGTTTGAGGAAATTCAAGAAATTCCCCGCGCGTCCCTGGGACCCCGATGTTTTTCTGTTGCGCGTTCCTTCCGAATTTTGTGCGTATACGACACTCATTTGCGCGTTAACGCAATCCCTGCATATGTATTAGAAGCTTTTATTAATTTTATTCCAGTTAATTATAATTCTAAATTTAAATATATATGGAGAATTAAAATAATATATTTACATGTATAAAGTTAATATGAAAAGTATTGTTGGTACTAGAGAAACTTGGTACTAGAAAAAGAAGGGTGGATTGATATCTCGCACAGGGCTCCAAAAACCCTCGCAAACGGTGTGACCTCTGTAGGAGTGGGGTTTGAACCACAGTCAATATTTCTAGACTGTGGTTTGAACCTCCCAAATCCCCTCCAGGACGCATCCCTTACCATGACACTCCTATCGAATTCTACGAGTGTATTCAGAGATGCAGGAAAGGTAGTCACCCTAGCGTGAAGTAGGGAGTTGGAAGAGGGGCTGCCGATGCTGATATTCAGCATAATAATTATTAAGCATTTACCTTGCTCCTCTCCTGTGCTGTCCATGACCGTTAGCCGGTAAAACTGTAGATATGACGCGCGGTGTGTACTGCGCGTATCTTCCTACTAGGCACCCGCCTCCCAATTGCGCAGCAGTTGCCATGGAAACGCAGGCATAGAGGTGTTTTGTGTATTTCATGACGAATTGGTATTTCATGCATCTTATGGGGTCCTGAAAGAGCGAAACATTTTCAAGGAAAATTCTGTTTCTTTTAAGTAAAAGTAATCTTAGGACTAGGTGGGATGTAGTTGTCTTTTTTTTTTCGCTCTGAAAATGTAGGAATTCTGAACATTATATTTCAATACCGAGCAGGCCTCGTACGGCCATTTTCGATCGAGCTGCCGGCGTTCCTTGGCTTGTCTTGTCGTGCGTTACCACTGTATTGGCAGAATACACTGGATTTAGCGTCTTGTGACACGATTTTAAATTGAAAATGAGTTCTACGACCGAAGCTGATCTCATGAAGTTGAAGGTCGTGGAGTTAAGGGCAGAGCTGTCCCAAAGGGGACTGGATACGAAGGGGACAAAAGCAGTCCTTGTTGAGAGGCTTCTCCAAGCCATGAAGGGAGAACCCAGCAACGCAGAAGGTAGGAGGCCCCTCTGTCATGCTTGTAACTTATGATTAGGCCTAGTTTTGTACTTGCTTACTATGGGCTACCATAGGCTTAACGTTAGACAAAATTTTAACTACTGGTATTAGATGTAGCTTATTTCATTCGTGTTTCTGACTGGCCGCACGCCATCGTGCACGCTGAATCCCGCTCAGACTTTGAGACATGGAGACCCATAACTATACCACTTGTATCTTGCATGCCTTTATGCCATGCACACTGCAGTATTCCTGATGTATACCAGAGCAAGGAGCCAAGAGATTCTCCTTTTGGTATTGGAGACATCAGTAGGACATATAAATGTACATCCTGCACTTATAGACCTACCATGAATACTGCACTCTTTTCCCTCCATTCTTGTACTGTTCTCATTGGGGTAAAATTCCCCTATTCTTACATTGATGTGTTAAGATTTGTTTCTCTCTGGTATATGAAAGTGAGACTCCTGGGGAGGGAACGACAGGATTAAGACACTATCCCATTGAACAGTAGAGAAAAAATCGCAATTAAATCTTGGAGTTGAAGTAGTATATTTGCCCAAGATAGGGCCCCTGGCTCATGCCGAATTATGGTGTTCACAATGGATACCCATCTTCATCACATCATCAGCCCAATGTAGCATCACATCCATGTTTACAGTGCTTTGGGATTGACTTCACCCAACCCTGTAAGGGTGCTTATGCTACAGTACTTTAAAGTCTCAGAAAATCTACTGAATACCAGTTCAAATAAAAAGTAAGACTGGAGGAAATAGTTTCACTGCCATCATTAAACTCAGAAAGCAAGGTATTCCTTTGTCTTGTGCACACTCTCAAATCCTGTGAACATAGAACATAAAACTCAACTTCATTATGTGCACACTATTTTCCAATGAGGACTGAACCTCAACTCCCATGTTCAATGCGGAACGCTCTGCCCGACATTACTGCAAGCAGGATGAATGCCCAGTAGACTTTGTCACCCACATGTAGAGGAGATACGATTGCTTTTTCCCTTCCCAATCAGGCCTATCACCTTCATCTTATCCAAGATTGGGAAGGTGTTGCAAGATGTCTACCTGTATAAGCTTAAGCATATTCATGCAGCATCAGAAGTGGGATTTTCATAGTTCCAAATCACTGAAGAATGGCAGTCCATGAACCCGATATGGCCACGCTATCTACTCACCTTTGAGATGATACTTCTGCCATTTCTCATTCCTGGACAGGAATCATGGCCATACACGGTCCCCATTCAGGAAGCACTGTTCTGGTTGAAAAACTTCCTCATGAAAGTCCTCCAGAGAACCAAGATTCAGCATGTCTACTTGTGCCTTCTCGCCTTTATGTCAGCCATTGCCCTCTGCATGGGGGTCTGTGAGAATAACACTTCTTAGCACGTTTGCTGCCAATGATGCACTTTTCTATAGAAAGGATAACATTGAGGTGCGTCATCGGCAGCGAACGTGTTAAGTAATGGTTGTAGGTTGTAGTATGCACACGTACAACACCCACAACCGACTAACATCACCTCTACTATCGTGCACAGTACAAAACAAGGTGTGCACAAGACGAAGTGTGTGCAGGGATTGTTCGTTAGACGCAAACCTGCTTAGCCTAGACTTCGTTAGACGCACACCTGAGGCACCCTGCATCCGTTAGACGCACACTATGTTCCAATCGCACACCACCTCTCCATTATGCTCCATTAAGGGGGAGCGGGGCGGGGTGGGACCCCGAATTTTCATCCCTGCGGAAGGCCTCTTTTTGGCTATGGTAATCCTACCAAACCCTTTATATTACTTGTTTGTCCTCTTCCGAATAAGTCTTGACGCGTCAAAATCTGTTGTAAAACGTAGGTTCGCAGCTGTGCTGGTGTAGTCCATCTGCAGCCATGGTGCTGAGCAGTTATTGTCATGGTTTGATGCTGAAGTGATGCATCCATCTTGTTGCTGTCATCATGACATAGTGTCGTATAGTATGTCCCTTACTGCAGCACGCAAGTGCGATTTCCTGCTCAGTGAGAGCTCAAGTCACCGAAGTCAACTGCTTTACCAGCACTACTCGCTCAACCTCAACCCCTCGTGATTTTAGCTTCCTTTATGGGTCATTGAACTTCGCATTCATTGAATGCTATGTGCGCAATACGCTGTTCACCTGAAGGAAACGATACGAGGAACCCTGAAACGCCATATATTTAGGCAATGAGAAAATGTCAAGAATACGTGGGACTTCGTGAGAACATGAACGATTGCGTCAGTTTTGGGGGTAAAAGCGCCGCACTTCATCAAGGAAATCGAGGAATGGGGAATTTGGGTGGAGAGATTGCCACCATCCTTCAATTAAATAGTTAGTCAGCATTCCTCTGGTGGTACCACGACCTCTCTTCATGATTCTTGTCTTGAGGGAGGACCATTGAGATTCGATTCTTTGGGTGTTAGCTCCTGATATGAATTGAAACTTGTGCAACATAAGGCAAATAAGTATTTGTGAACCCATGACAAATAGGAGACCTCACCAGTCACAGGATCTACAAAATTTTGGCTATGATTGACTGTTTCATGCCGGTATCCAAGGTGAGGCAGATCTGAATACACCGCCCATTCATCGGACCTGATGGTAGAACCCTTGGCGACATGCCTTTCAATGATTGGGAGCAGTGTCCGCTTGTCTCGTCTAGGGACGATGACTAGTCTTGTTTCGGTCAAGCTGTCATGCCGCCACGCCAATCCAAAAACCCATGGACCGACAACTCGATTGGCATAGTTTTGGCGTGCTGGGGGGAAGTTGTTGCCTGCATCCATCCCCTATTGTTTTTCCGCCTCCCACTGGTGCACATGATATAAAGTAAGACATGATTAATATGAGAGCCATCAATACGCAATGCTCACCGAAAACAGCTCTCGTCGATCTCGACAATTTCACCTCGTCCGCCCATTTGAGGTGCGTCTTGGAAGGCGCAGACGAGAACTTCCCTAATAAGATTCCTCCAGTCCACAAGCGTTTTGCTTCTCCTCGAGGATATGCATGTTAAGAGGCGCTGTGATTGCCGTATTGAAAGATCGAGAGCCCAGCAGTACACAAGCATAAGGATGGTTCGTATGCTTAGCTTAGTGCATGGTTTCCCATCAGCACCCTGGAAGGAGAACCAGCAGCCTCCATTCCTTCCAGCCCTTGCCCCCCCCCAAGACTTCTGGGCCATTCCTGGCACTGCGATAGCGCTTGCATCGGTTGCAGCGTATTATGGGGATTCTGGAGCCATCATCGTCGTTTCATTTGGTCAAAGTAACTTTGGCGTTACATTACCCCGACAAAGAAAGTGTTTGATTTCAATTTGGCTTGGTAAAAATTTGCTATAAATTATTTTAAAGCTTTAAAGTAATACTAGATATGCATAAAGCAACGTAAAGGTATAAGCAGGAAACCTGTGCAAGTAGGAGTATAGGTGCAACGCGGGAGCTTGAGGAAGCTGGCGATTGGTTATGGCAGGGAGGAGGCGGTGTGCTCTGGCGTAGTCAATTGCTGCTCCGTACGTTCGTAGAGACACGGAGATTTCAAAGATGTCTGGATCAGAACGTGCCATTGCTTGAAGTAACAAAAAGCTATTTCCGCGACCTCCCTTTTATTCTGAGATGAAGGCCGTTCTTTGGAGCATCCAGAACAGGTTTAATATCTTAAAGGGTATCAACCTATGCCTTCCTAATCCCTTTCAACGGATAGGGAGTCGTACCATATGACTGGACGTATGGTAACTGTAGGGCTTGGAGGGGGGGGGGTTCATCCTTTCCCCCCCCCCCCCCTGCCCCCATTTGCCCCACTCCCCCTTCAGAACACTTTTACGTACCATATTGTGAGGTGTGCACAGGTGAACAGTGGTGTGCATAATGGAGCGGTGGTGTGCATCTAACGAACAATACTCGTGTGCAAACTAGGTGTGCTGAAGGTGAAGATGAATGATGAAACTAGGTGTGCTGAAGGTGAAGAAGATGAAGGAATACTGAAAGAAATGCATTTAGAAGTGGTGGGAGAGGGAGTTAAAAAATTTGGAGCTCTCTGGGACTATTTATGTAAGCCTAAGAGTGAGAAGGTATATTAATAATAATGTGATGGAGAGAGGCAACATTTATGCATGGGAATATGTATGTGATGGTGTACAAAAAAAGAGAAATCACTCAACTTATGACTCCTGTGCTGCCTGACATGCTTTTACCTCCAGGTGTTTTACAGTGAGTTCATGTACCTGTTCAATGCAGACCATTGCTTTCTATGAGTATAGTAATGGCAGTGGAGTCTTATGTTTTACTGTAAACATAGATGAGAGGTGATGATGTGATGAAGATGGATATCCGTTGTAAACACCATCCTTCTGCATGGCCCCCTGACCCTGTGCTGGGCAAACATTATTCAGAAAGAGTGCTTTCAGGATTACCAGGGCATCCTTGTAACTTCCCAAAAAAATTGTATCACTTTTCTTGTAAAATGTAGGAATATTATGCAAGAATATTATCAGACAACTTGGATTTGCAGGTTCTCATATAGTTTGGTATTCATTTAATGATCATTAGCTCATTCATCTTGCATCATATTCTTCCATTTCCCTAGCAGCTTTGTCAACATTTAAATGAGAGCTGAATCTATCAGACACCTTGGCCTCTGGAAATTTTGCTTGTACAGTTGCTGCCATGGAACATGGTCTTCATAGATTCATAAGAAAAGCCTCTGACAAACATTTTAAGATCTATTAGGTAATAGTAAAGGTTTAGGTAACTCATAGTAAAAAAAAAGGTATATTTAAACTAGGTACATAATCATATATGCAGGAATCCCTCCCTCAAACTTGATGACCCTTGCCTATAGAAAATACATGTTCAAATATGTTTAATATATAAATAATCACATACTTAAGCCATCTAATACTTTAATTGAAAGAGGCTGAAAGTTGTGGTGGCTGTCACCCTTATGCACAAGGCCTACAATGCTATGCCATTCTGGACCATAGGCTAGGCCATATGTGATTTATTTAGGAGGTGTGCTCTCGATGATGATAAAATTAACTGGGCAGCCACACTTTCGAACTTCTCAAGGTTTGTTTGAAATGTTTGTTTGGTTTGAACCAAACTGCTTCATATCTTTATGTAAATATGTTCAAATTCCTGCCCATTAGATGGCCAGTGTAGCAGCAACAGGCTGCTAGTATATGCTTTAACATATGAAGCAACCTTCACTCGTCAATACAGGAAATAAATAGATATGGCATAGACAGCTGCATATGATTGCTATATATGATCATTCTGTTGGGGTATTTGGTATTCAGGCAAGGAAACCTTTTTCCTTTTTTTTTTTGTCTGGCTAATATTCATGTGGCATACATACAGGCAAGCTTCTTTTTTCATAATTTTTCCTTTCCATTCATTTCATTTCACCAAGTCTGGCTGAAATAATAGTGCTATTCTCAAGATTTGGTTACCAAGGGTAGAGGATGGTCTGTATTTAAAACATTCAAATCAAGAGATTCATTAATTTTGGAGTGTGGATGGAGGTGCTTCCAGGCTCCATACTCTCTCACATTGCTATAATCCAGGGAAAAGGCCTGAACCTAAAAATACGGTCAAATTTTTCAGCCAGGTGAATCTATAATTTGATTTATTAATTCAGCTAACTCTGATGCACCATGAATATTGCCAGGTGACAATCAGGAGGAAATGGGTGCAGAAGACGATGACAATGGAGGAGAAAATGAAGCAGATATTCTTCAGGATGATGAGAAGGCAGAAGCTGAGGCAGACCACATGGATGGCATCCCAGATCCTGAGGAGAATGATGCACCTGAAGATGAAGATGATTTAATTAAGGAGGAGCCACCTGAGAAAGAAAATTTTGAAACTTCATGTGAAGATTCTGAAATGGAAGTGAAACCAGAGGCCAAGCAGGAAGATGCTGATATTGTCAAGGAGGAAGATTCTTCTAGTCTCAAGGAGGTGGATACTTCTAGTGTCAAGGAGGTGGATACTTCTAGTGTCAAGGAGGTGGATACTTCTAGTGTCAAGGAGGTGGATACTTCTAGTGTCAAGGAGGGGGATACTTCTAGTATCAAGGAGGAGACTAGTGTCAAGGAGGAGACAGCTGCTGTTCCTAGTTCAGCAGAAGAATCAACCAATGCTCAGGTAAGGGTGAAGACGCTTCATCCCCCTTCCTTCAAGTCAAAGTTGCATTTCAGACTCTTGCTTATTTCTGAATCATAGTTTTAAAGGAGCACAATCATGAAAATGCAAAATTCCTTAATTTTTTTCTGTCTCTAAAAATGAATAGCTTTCAGGCTACTTCACAAGGCAGATAGTTTTTGTGCATATGCCCAGTATGGTAACATATCAGCACCCAACCAGGTTCAGCTTGTCTATTCCTTAGTTTGCTATGTCCACTTGTTTTCTTCATATTTTTATCTCACAACCAACAATTATTTCCTCAGTACTACATTGTTGCATTGCATTCACTGACAACAGGATAAGCAATTTACAGGAAAATACTTCAATTATGTAGAGCCCTTAGGCTACTGAGCCCATCAGATATTCCATCCCATCATCTTACTTTTCTCATTCATATCAGGCATAATCCTCCTAGTTATAGGGATTTTTTATGTATGAGAAGCCTGCATTGAAAGGTATATGGAGTTTTGCTGTTGACATGGTTGACATGGCTGACATGGTTGACTTGGTTGACTTATGAAGGATTCTTCATAAGTGCTTACATGACTGGTAGGAACTAGGGCTGTACAGATGTATTAGCTGCTGCCATTGCACCATCGGTTGGGTTGCAAACTGCCGATGATGCCCAAAGGAGGAGCAACACAAAAAAAAGATTGTGAATATGTGAACAAGGCCAAGCACTGGCTTCTCCAGGACAAAAATTTAGATTGAGTTGTATTTCAGTCAGATTGCGTAACCAGCAGAGGAAATAGCAATACTTTTTTTCTCAATCTACAGACCACAATTGGCACTGGCCATGGGTATGAGACCAAAATCAGTTGTTGGCCCACCTGCCAAATGCAGCTATCAGTACAGCTTCAGTAGAAACTTCCTTTTTTAAAATTGACGACACTTAGGGTTAGGGAATGAGTTTTCATCATTACTTGCTTAATTAAATTTGACATATTTTGGAGACATTTTCCTACTTAACTTATTTTTAGCAGGGCTGTACTGATAAGAAAATTTGGCAGCTATGCAGATTCTTGATATTTGTTCTTGAAAGATGATCAATACCAATCTTAGTGCATGTCTATGGGATAGGTCTTTCTTGCAGAGTTAGTGTAGATGACATTAACCCTTTTGTGAACAAATTTTTTCTGATGTGTAAGTGACAAAATTCTGTAAATTTTCTATTCCCATTTATGGAGGCTTTTATTTTGAGAACTTAGTTTTTCTCCTCAAGCAAAAAATTTTTTAGTTGTGGTGGGAACCTTTCCTGATTTATTGTGGTCACCAGTAAATGATGTGAATGTGATAGAGTGGTAGGAAGCCCTCCAGGGGCACTGGGAGGATCAAACATTTTTTGGGAAGTACTCCATACCACAGGAAAATTAGCCATAAATGTCAGATCCTGTTTTCATAAAAGGTATATTGTCAGGAAGAGATTTATATCACTTCTGGTATGGGGCATTTGCTTGAATCTATGTAATAGTGCTGCTTTAGCATTCCACATGACCACAATTAGAAAACAAAGACCTAGGCTAGGATAGGCCATATATAGCATATATCACAAGCCAAGCACAACCAACCTTTAGTTGCACATGCAAAGGTTGTATCTAGAGGCCTAAGCCTTATGTTAGCATTAGACCTCTGCACATTTCATGGAAGCAGGCCTATTCAAGGTTTCAGTGCTTGCTTCAGAAAATTAAACAGCAAGGGCTTCTTAGATGTTTCATTGGATTGCAGCAGCTTCTCACATATGCTCCTTCATCCCCTGCCATTTAGCAGGAAGAAATTTCACTTCTGGTCGTGTGCTTTCAAGTTCCATGTTCCATTCTCCGGGATAAATGCAGATCATTTCTACCACTGTTTGCTTGTAGGAGTTCCCCGACATGCTGCAAAATGCCAGGAAATCAAAGTATGGAGAAGAGATGTGATGCATGTTTGGCACACAAAAAAAAAAAGGAAAGAAAAATCTGCTCGCCCAAAGATCGGTTTAGTCAATTTTTTGGAAAATGCCTAAATTGACCTATGTCTGATCTCTGATCTAGGGATTGGTTCAGCTCTAATTTTCATTATTTATAGGTCATTACCATGGCTAGTTTGCCTTTCTCTGTTGCCTAGCAGATTGATTGGCATACTGTCACAATATTTAAATACATGATGGTAACTTATTGGAGATGTACTCACCAAAAAGACATGATCAGAATGGTAAGGAATGAATTATGAAAGTGGACAATTTGAGTTTTGCTCAGGGTTAAGTTGCATCTAATATGCGTAGAGAGGAGGATGAAATTAAGAATGAAAAAATATATATTAATAAAATAATAGACTACTTCCAAAAGAAGTTTGGCAAATTCTCCTCAGAACAGCTTAATGAAAGCTTCATCAATAATAGACTCATTAAATTGTGATTTATGACTACCACATTAAATGCTACAAAAGCTTAGGGAATCATTCTGAAAGCCTTCCACTATATGTGGGGGGCCATAAAGGAAATGTCAGCATCAGGACATTGTATAGTGAACTTTGGACTCCTCTCCTTTCTTATATGCTTGAGCTCATATGGAGACTGGGCAGCCTTGAGCTGAACAGAGCTTGAACCTAACATCTAAAAGTTTTGAGTTTCATGCCTGAAGCTTTTCATGAGAAACAGGTCAGCAAGGAAACTGAAGTTGCAATTCCCATGTGTAAGCATATAATGAGGCATGTGCTTGGGGGGTTGGGGCACTGAGGATATCATTGTTACCTTACAACCGGCACAAAAATTAAGTCTATAGCTCCCAACCAAGGGGGAATGAGCAGAATGCATGCTTTTTGGAAATAACATTGAATGTGTTTAACTTGTTCACTGATGATGAAAAACTCATTCTTGACTAATGCACCAAAAGTAAATTGGCAAGTCAGATGCTTCATATGACGACACTGCACAGAAGCCAAGTGTACAGCCTAGAGGCTGCATGGTTTATGCTAAGCGCCTATGTTGAGCTCCACACCTCAGCCCTTGTACTGAGAGAAACTAAAGCATAGAAACAGCAGCATCCATGATGTACATAAGCATCATCGGTGCTTCTCAAAACTAGTCTTTGACAATTGTGTCATTGGCAGTGAATGTGTTAACTGTTACTTTCATGACTGCTCCTTTAAATATCCTAAGTGTATATGTTAAATATCTCTCTTAAATATTGCTTTAGGAGGAAGCTGAAAAGGATCAAACTGAGCAAAAAGATTACACTGAGTCACAAGAAGGGGGTAAGGAAAAACATCAAGAACGACGCGGAGAGAAGCGTACTCATGAGGAGAGCAGGTATGGTTGCCATTTATTTAAAGTGCTTAATCATTTAGTTATATTTTCCCCCTCCTTCAGCTTTCAGTCTCTTACCTAACCTTGATGGAAACTACCTGCTTGTAGACATGAATTATTTGGTAAATGAGGGGGATGACATGATGTGTGTTTGACAATAGTTTTGTCAAAAACCCATTTGTTTCAGTGATGCATGGAAAATGTATTTATTGTATTCTTCATCAGTAGAAATGCATATTTTCATAATCAAGCCTCTAATGTCTCCTCTCATCTTTTAAAACACCTCATGAAATAACTTCTGACATTCCTGCCTCATGTCAAACCTTTTCCCTCTGAGAAATTGTTGGGTTTAGGGAAGAACCAAAGGTCTGCTGGGGAGTGTCAGATACAGGGAATGGGTGGGTTGGGTGGTAGCACTTGCCCAGAAGAGGTGTTGAAAACTGCTTAATCAGGAGGGGTATTGTGATGGGAAGGGGGGGGTTACCCCACCTACCTGCACTAATGCACAGCAGTGCAGCCATTGGAATTCATGACTGAGGGTATTGGTACCTTTTTTTTAACTATCAAAATATCTGTGTGTTGGATGTCTTCCAGATTTGAATATAGTTACATCTCTAATCCAGAGTTGTGCATTGCAGGTATAAGCATGAAAGAGATGCACCAGTTCGACCCACAGAAAATGAGCCAGAATGGGATGATACAAAAGTTCTTCTGGATTGGTGTATGCAATTTACAACTCTCAACTGAAATTTTATCTTTCATCCTTGAGAGCCTTCTCTTTTATATTAATAATCTTTATTTTTCTTTAGATAACTCTGATATGCATCTGAAGATTGACAAGGAGTCCTTCTTCAGAGCAGAGCCCATGATTGGACATGGCTTTGGATATGTTTGGGCTGGAGCTCGAGCTACATATGGGTTCATCTCAGGGAGGATTTGCTATGAGTGCAAGGTTAGTTGGTATAATATGCCATCTTCATGGATTTTAAATAGAGATCGACCAATGCATCAGTTGCTGGTATAAATTGGCTGATATGGGCATATCAGCAAGTATTAACATCAGCTCTTTCAAACCTTCTGATTTTTGCCAATATCAGAAGTAGAGCACTGTTCAATCTGTACAGTAAAAGAAAATATGACTATCTTTTCTGTGCCCATATGGAAACCCTGAGACGTGTGATATAGCAAATATGGGATCATCTGAGAGGTGAGGAATTGCAGGTCTTTCGCTCTGCTTATGTTCATACACAGAGGCAGACCTTCAAGACCTTCACTCTAAGGCTTAGGTTTGGCCCATGCCCTGCAGCCTAACTTCATTGTGAGTTCAAGGAGAAATTTGAAATAAAATCAAGCTGTCCTGTTGAATCTTCAATATGTTTTGCTTTTGCTGAAATATATTGGAAGGACAATCTATATTTTAGCGTGTTTTGGTCATGGGGAGACAGCCTCTGATCCTGGCATTTCCCAAATACAATTTGAGCCTCAACTGTGAAGCCTGCTACTCTATTCACTATTGGGTGCAAAGAACATGGATTCAACACAAATCCCACATGTTAAGGCTCAATCCAGTGAATTCTAATCACACTCAGCTGTCATCTTGAATATGCTTTGTCAAGCATGATCATCTACCTTTATCATACTAGTTCCTGGAATACTTGAATTGTGCTTTATCATGTGAGATAATTAGAATATCAAAGATTAAAGTGATTTTTGAGGAATTGAATGACTCAAAGAAGATGAGGAAAGGAATGGGGATTGGAATGAGACAAATCACATGCCTTAGAAGATTGCCACCACAGTATTTAGCAGTATACATTGCAGCATATAGTATGCTTTCTTGCTCTTGAAGGGGCAGAAGTATACTGTATAAATGATTCTTTCAGTTCCTTCTCTAGTTTTTCACCTCTCCATCCTTCTGCACCTGTATATAGTATTTGAACTGGAGTAGCATGACAATGTAAAGGATTAATACAAACAAAAACAACATTTGATGTTATTTAAAAGAACCCATCTGTAGTTCACTGTCAGGACTTTTTTAGTTGTAAATCTATTAGCTGACTGATCAGAAGGAAAAAATAAAAAAAGAATCATTCATATTTTGCCTTCATGATTACTCTTGACAAATCTTTATATTGCTTGCATATCCTTGCCAGAAAATTCTCATTTCTTGCCTCAGGTTTGCAGAATATAATTTATTTTTCCTATGTTGCATCAGACATAATTAGGCCTGTGGCAGAATGGATGTCAACTAAGCAACCAATGATTTTGCTTGAAATTGCCTAATATAACTGGCCTAGTTATAATTGACCAAACTATATCTAAAATCATTACTCTGGCCAAGGTTAACCATTACTTGAAATTACATGCTCTGGTGTCTTATTAACCTTTCTGTGCATGTGTCCACTGAAATGGATAGCTATGATTTTGCTTCGTGTGTAGATTTTTAGTCATGGCACACAAAAATTTTGGTGCATGCAGTTCACTCCAGGGCACATCATCTATTCAATGTTGCCTTCTAGCAGTGAAACATGTGACTACTATGGAAAAGTAGTAAACATTAAGCCAAGAATAAAAAGCATATTTTTGCTTTGCTTTAAAAATTCATGCATGGGCCATGCATATTTGATGGTGTGTTTCTTTCAGATTTTGGAGGACATGCAGGTTGAAGGTCTTGAAGATGAGCCAAATCCAAATGTTGTGAGAGTGGGTTGGTCTACTGAAGACACTTCCATGCAACTGGGTGAGCTTCAGGCTGATAAAATGTCGCATTTTGATCCCAAAAACAGTCCATGAGGACATAGGCTTTTATGCCAATTATTTCATGCTGTTTCTATAATAAGGCTCTATCAAATTGATAAATGTTTCAATTCCAGCTGTGTTCCCTTTCTAGCCTTTTTTTGCTTTCAGTACTATTCATCTTGCACATTTAAAAATATTTATTGCTTCTTAAAGCCTTCAAGTTTTCTATTGAAAACTTGAAGTGAATACCTACTTCTTGAATTCAGTATCCCCTCTTGTAACAAAACAAACACCAAAATTATTTTCAGAAGGCCTGTATTTACTGCTGCAATTTCAAAGCCTGCATTATTTTAGTTAGTTTTTATTTCAGAGTGAATGATTTGTATTCATTTCAAGAGCATGGAAAAGGAACCCCTACAGTTAGGTGATACTTTTACCTTATCTGTTTTAATATAATCTAAAAGGAAATTGTTGACTGCTAAAGGAAAGGACTTCATAAGTTCAAGTTCCAATATACTTTTTATCATTTTCCTTTGTCAGGCATGTGTCTCAAAGATCTAGTTTTATTTTGTGGAATAGGATTGTGTTGGGTCAAGGGTTCCTGTGGAGGCATTTGGCTCTTACTGTGGGACTTTCTTGTAATTTAATACCAAATGAACATTGCATCCATGAAAACTCTTTTGATGGAATTATGTTTGTGATCATCATAACATATTTTCTCTTTAGACCTTGCTGCTACATATCTCTACATATTACATAATTGCATATTGGATGCCTTTGTTTGCAGGTGAGGAGCCATTATCTTATGGATATGGAGGAACAGCAAAAGCATCAGAGAGTTGCAAGTTTCAGAACTATGGAGTCACATTTGCAGCTGGGAATGTTGTTGGGGCTTATTTGGTAAATTAAATTTTCTCCCTTTCATTATCTCTTTTTTAAAGTTCTCATTCTAACCTGTTCAACTTTTATCATTCCTATATTTATGACCTTGTATGGGAGGCTACAGAATCCAATTTGGTAAAAACAAGATAATTACTCCTGTTCCACTTAACTATGCACTGAATTCAATGAAAAAACATTGAATTCAAGTGCATAATTAAGTGGAATAGAAGTAATTAGATCATTTTTGGGAAGTTTTATCATGGTTGACATGCATCAGATCAAACATATTGATTTCATATAATGATGTGATTTAATAATTTTGCTAAGTGATGCAATTCTCTTGATCATTAATTTTTCAGCAATTATGGCTAATGAAAACTGAGGCAATTACCCTCTTTTAGGCTGTATTGAGTCTAATGGTAAGCTGGAACCCAGCCTAAACCCAATAGTGGAACTGAACTCAAACATGATTTTGAAATTTGTAACCTGAACTCAATTGAAACCCAAACTTGAGCAATTATTTATTAACTTGGTGTAAATTAAGAGTTGGCCTGTATGATTCTTGAGCCATGGTGAACAAAATCAGCTTCATCTTGGTCTTGGTTGATTTTGCCAGATATATACATATGTGCAGCTATTACTTTTGATAGCCTCCTATTGCCTAAATTCCTATTTCTTTGGGAAATCCTCTTAATTGCATTTTATCACCAAGAGTTGTTACCAGAACCTTTTTTTTTTTTCCTTTTTCAGGATATGGAGAGTGATCCAGTGACTGTCAGCTTTACAGTGGATGGTTCTGATCAAGGAGTGGCATTTGAAATACAAAAGGACCAACTGGAAGGAAAAGCTCTTTTTCCTCATGTTTTATTGAAGAATTGCAAAATAGAACTCAATTTTGGAGAGAGGCCAGAAGGTCCACATTTCCCTCATCCAGATAGACTCATGGGCTTCACATATGCTTCTGATGTTGAAGTTGAAAAGCGTGTTCGTGGTACAAAGGCTCCTGAAAAGCGATCAGACTGCGAGGTCCGTTTGAAGTTCTAACTTGACTTCTTGCACAAGCAGGGAAAAAAAAAGAGCAGTGGTTAATATTCCATGTATTTTTTCCTTCAGATAATGTTGATGTGTGGGCTGCCAAGTTGTGGGAAGACCACATGGGCCAATCAGTACGTCAAGGAGCACCCTGAGAAGAAGTACAATATCCTTGGCACCAACTTCCTGATTGACAAGATGAAGGCAAGGATATTCCATTATTTCTGCATGGAATATTGAACACTATTAGGTGTTGAAACTAGGGAGTAATGTTCACTTTGATTATATTCTTTTTGTGTAGGTGATGGGACTGAATCGGAAAAAGAATTATGCTGGTCGTTGGGATGTTCTCTTTGAGAAGTGCAACAGATGTCTTAATGTATTACTAACTGAAGCACAGAGAAGAAGAAGAAACTTCATCCTGGATCAGGTATAGAATTTCATCGGTAGGCCTATGAACTTGCCCTAGATAAGAACAAAACACATGAAGTTTACTCATTCCTACCCCAGGAGGCATTATTCATCCAACTGTAAGTTTGGGTGGGTGGGTAGAATAAGCTAGATAGAACTTATTGCAGCATAATCCAAGGTAAGGAACCATTCGGATCCTCTTGTATCATAACTTGCACATGAGTATTGACCAGCATTTCAGGATTAGCAGTAAGGTTCCAGAGGTGAGTTTATGGAAGCAATCTGTGTATTTCATAATGGCACTGAATGCAAAGTTTTCATCAGCTTGTATACCCGGGTGTTGTCGGTGCTTTATGACTTTCATTCAGCTATGCTGATGAGTTTGTCTTGTCATGGAGGTGCTGAGTCCCCTATTCATATGAGTTTTTTTTCATGATTATCCACTGCACACTTTAATCCAACTCTGTGGAAATTTTCAAAATGGATCTCTAGTTGAAATGGGCCAACCAGATTCTTCACATGACACTCAAGTACCAATTGTGGTATGAAAAGGTTTATTCAATTGAAGAGGAAGTCATCAAATATTTACCTTGGCTTTGAGTGAAAGATCTTCACTGGAAAGTCTGCAGGAGCAGAGCAAAGTTGTAAGGTCTTTATGCACAGCTTGGAATCACTTGCCAAAGATGGATTGGCCCAGCAAAACAGCTGAATAGCATCACAGGGAATGACTCATCTTGGTTGTGCATTTTTATGTAATGGCAAGAGCTGCTAATGTTTCTTTCAATGGATGTTCATTATACACTTCATGGGAACTAATTCTATTTCTCAATCTTCACTGCATCTTCTGAATCCCTTAATCTCACTTGCAAGTGCTTAGAAAAGATATTGGTTTTCACATATTGATTTTCTACATATCTCTTAGAGAAAGTGCTACCTACATATAACTCATTGCATGGATTTTTCTCCTCTTTTGATAATGATTTTAAAACCATTACTGCAAGATTGGTGTATGGTACATTTACTTTTGTATTAGGATTGGTTCATTTTTAATAAGTACATTTATGGGCTAGGAGGGTTTTGAAAGGTTTGGAAAAGTACTTCCTGATGTGTTTTGATTGAGTTTTATGAATTTTCCATGCAATTTTTATTATTCAGTTGATAAAGTGCTCTTAGCTTCTTTTGGATTGATGTGAAACTATACTTGTGTGTTTGGAAAGAGGGACTCAATGAGCCCAAGACTGTCTGTTCCATTGTAGGGATGTTATGAGCTCTGAATTGAAAATTTTGAAAAGAAAGACCTGCTGTTTTGTAGCTCATGGTGGATAAAGAGGTAATCAATAGTTTGATGATCCCAGTTGAGTTGGGATTAATAAAGTTATCAGAGAATGATGCAGACATGAAAATCATCAGTAGCTAGGATTGACATAGGATTGATCTGTGGGAAATCAGAGGAATAAAAGAGTGTTATAATGGGGCTGTATAGGTAAGAAACCCTTAAAAGAAGAGGCGCACTGCTCTTTCACAATGTTAACCATGCTTCTCACTTATGTTGCATCTCAGCATAACTTTGCCATCTTTAATACTAGGCTGTTCAATTAATTTGTTTATTTTCAAGAGAAAGATGAGTGTTTTGTTGCATGCCCAATTGTGGTTTTCATGATGTGTACTTATATCACAATTTTTTCATGTGGGACCCTTCACTGGATATATTTCAACCAGAATGCCAAAATACAGGACTTAACTAATGCAAATTTTGCAGGAAAAGGTTGTACTAGCTTCTCTGTTCTTGAAAATTTCTGAAGAATTGTCCCTATGACAAATCACGTTACCAGTCGATATTATTCTTCAGTTGAGATGAATATTCAAATTATCATACTGATTGGTACAATTTTTCAGGTTAAAAAAATGAAAGGATTAAGGTACCAATTTTGTAATGAGGCTTTATTAATGGCCACCACCAATAATATAATGGCCACGACCATGAGAACCAAGAAAAATGCAAGGTGACCCTTGTAGGACCTGAATACCATTTGGGAATTGGAGGTGAGCTTGGATTCATATAATGTGTGGTTTTGGTAATAGCTGATGATCTGCATGCAGATTTCATTTCATTTCACTTGGGATATCATCAGATTGGATTGATCTCCATTGATCTCTGATTTTAAATTAACCTGGTTCCTGTTAGAACTTGCAGTTCCTCACCTGGTAATCATGCCCTGTAATGAGAAGTAAGACTACCCAAAGGATAGAGATTTCATTCCAAAACCATTGAAGAGATTCTATAGGAACGTTCCACTCAACAAAAATGTTTGACATTTCTGAAGACTAATATCACTGCAGAAGTGCTTAGCTTCCATCAGATAGGTGTAGATTGGGATGGATTCAATCATATATGTACAATGAACTCTCAGAAATCACCTGTTTCAATTTGAAGCTAATTTGTTCAGTACTTGGTAATTCCATCAGTTGGATAGGTTGCATTCCAAGGTGGGTACAAATTGAGCTGGGAGGATATGGTTAAAGCTGATGTGATAGGAATATATGCTGATTTAAGTAACTATAGATGTATTTTCCCTAGCAAGACTTGATTGTTTGGCTGATATAGATATCCTATCAACAATAGCACTTAAGTGAAAGGACTTCCTTGCACTTGAAAAGGTTACATAGAGAAGGTGATAAAAGTGCATATATTTTAGGTAAGTACAGAAAATCCAAAAGCATTAAATGAGAAGGAACATATCAACTGTCTCTGCAGAGGGCAAGCAAAGAAGAATTATTTGTTTTGAGATTAACTTGATTTTCTGATACTAAGGAACATAAGTAGGAGATCTAAGTTAGTAATGGATATCCTCATTGACCCTAAGTTTGCTACAATCACCTGTTGGGTATGGTTTCTCCCCCCCCCCCCCACCCCCTCCTCCTCCTCCAGTCTTAATTGCCTCTCTACATGTTGCTTCTGCTTTTTACAGTATTCTCTATTGATCAGGTACATTGACTTAGTACAAAAGTTTGAGACTCAGGTCACTGTCACGGGCACCAAATGTTATGCTGCATACTAAAAAAACACAGTGAACATAGGTTCCACCCTTTGTACTATCTGAGAGCTCATGCACTGAGACACAAGTGGCAGTTGTTAGGTTGTGCTGCATTCAACCTTCAGGCATTGGCCAGCAGTCAACATTGAATTGGATCTTACTTCATGACATCACGCCTGTGCACAGATTGCTGCTGGAGATCTGTTACTTGACAGACTCTAGCATAGTTGTACTGCCACATCCCCCTTTTCCCCAGATCCTTAACCAAACAACTTTGACCTTTTCCTGAGGATGAAGAACCATGGTAGCTGCGTTGAATGAGGTTGCTAAAAAAAAATAATGGGCTTCCAGTCCTGTTTCAAGGAATTTGACAGACGTTGGTAAAAGTATGTAACAAGCTTGGGCCACTACATTTGTAGGTGATGCAGCAACAGAGCTGCAACTCTCACCATTCATGTATAATAATAAGCCCATTCTCAAAACTTTTTGAATCTACTTTGTGTATGGAGCCCTTACAGATCACATGATCCATGGTGACTTTTCAACCATGCCTCTGCTTGTGTGAAAAGTACAAATACAAGAAAGGGAATCTCCTCAAAATATCTAAGGAGGTGATTTATATGACTTTTTCTTGAATTTCTAAGTACAGGTTTGCAAGGGAGCACTTTGTTTTCATGGCAGAATAATATTGATTTCCCAAAACAGGCACAAATGAAAATGTCTTTTGAGGACTGCTCAAAAGTAATTCATTATTTGAAAATCTAGTATTTTATGTATGACTCATCATAATTTCATTCACCACCTAGCAGTCTTTTTATTTGTTTGTTATGCCCTCTTATATAAATGTTGACTTCTCTTATTAGAGCAGTTGAAAGCTCAGAGGAATTTGGGCATTACCCCTTGGTTGATTCATATGTAAATATGCATTCTTGTATAGGCATGTTTTTTGAGCTTATACATGTCTCTTGTAACCTCCTGTTGTTTTTTTTTCTTCTAAAAATTATGTGCAGTACTTAGAGAACAGCCTTGAAATGTTCATATAAAGTGTGTTGTGTGAAGTATTCCTTTGACTGATGATACCCATTCTGTTGCAAGGGAAAGTGTAACTTTGAGCCATGTATTTAAGATTCCAAAAGACTTTAAATCCTCTAGTGCTTCCACATAGGAAATTGAAAACAGGAAGTCAGCTGTGGGAATTCATATTCATTGCCTTGGTATTGAGAATTGAAGTTACAGTGTTGGTATATCTCTCAGTGTCTGCATCATTCATGCATTTATGAATTCTTGTAATGACTTGTATGGTATTTTCTATTGCATTACTTGGGAGAAGTCACTTTTTATGCTGCTTTAACCCTATGTGGGCAGTGGGAAGTTTACTTCTCAGAAAATGCTTGACTCTCCCAGTGCTCTGGGAGGGCTTCCTCCCACTATATCCCACTTGCATCATCCACTCCAGGGATGCAAATGCGAAGCTTCCATAAGTGGAGAAGAAAAATGTCTACATTTTGTCATTTGCACATGGGAAAAAATTTCCACATGAAAGGGTTAACCAGTCTTGTAAGGCTCCTGCAAAGAACACTTTGAGGGTGTATTTAACCCCTTCAGACCTGAATTAAGGCCTCTATCAGAATAATATACTGTTTTTTTAGCTCTTTTTCCTATTATAATTTAGATTTTTATGTTTTATATATAGTTTTTGTATTTTGTATAAATTTTCCATATCATACCATATATTACATATACATGTAATTACATAACTGAAGATTAAAAAACTGACAAGTGAGAGAAGGCCTCTGATGGAATTGAGCCATGCATTTTTGAGTCCATTGTAGTGTAAAATGAGACACAAATTCATGAGAATCCCAAGAAATTACCATAGAAACAATGAAAATGCCATGTCCATTGGAATAGATGGGGGGTCTGAAAGGGTCAATTCACTGGTAAACGGCTGATACTAGAGCTAAACAACATGGATATCTTGTATCTTGAAGCTGATCCTTGCCCCTGTGGAACCAGCAAAAACTCTTGGAGGTTAGGCCAAAGGAATAATGAGCATGGGACAACAGTTTGATGTCCCTTTCCAAAATAAAAAGAAACCAACATTGAATGATGGCAATGTGATGGGAGGGAGCATTGTCATGATGCAGGATGAAGGAGTTTGTTGTCCACTCTTGATTGCTCTCTTGCAGTTTCTGGCAGTAATTTGTTGTGAATGATGGCTTAGTAAGTCTTCCCTGTGACTTTTGTTCCCTATGAAATGGCATGCCATGGCATAGCATGGGCCTTAGTAATCTAAAAACATTATGTATGTGATCTTGTCTGCTGAGAAACTACCTTGAATTTTCGTGGAGGTGAGGAGTCATGGTGTTTTCATTGAACTAACTGGCATTTGGTGTCAATGTTGTGGAGAAGTACCCAGTTCCCATCCATTATGACAATCCTCATCAGAAATGCATTATCTTCTTGAAAAAAGTGCACTGACTATTGACAGACATCCACTCACAGAGCCATTAGGTCTGCCATGAATTTCATCAAGATGTGTATCAGTCAGAATTGTATGAGTCGATCTAGAAATACCATAATATTTTGCTCTTTCTTTAAATGATTGGTGCCTGTATTTAATTACAATGCTGTCCACTGCTTGGTTCATCTTCAACATGTTCTGTCTTTGAAGGCTTTACTACATGATGGGCTCTGAAAAAGTATCCTGACGAGCATCATGCAATTGCTGATGAATGTTGTCCACTTCCTTTATTTAGTGTCAAGAAGTTGATTGTTCTCTGTTCAACTTTAGAAATCAGTACTTTCTTCAGCCAGGGCTCAAAACAGATTGATTGGAATGTGCTGCTCTTAGCTAGTTCTTTTTTCAAACATGCTCACATTTGCACCACTGTGACATTGCACATGTACCTTTCACATGAATGAAATAGTTTCAGTTTATGTTAATGATTAAACAATGAATGGTATGGACTTGATCTACAACAGCTGTATGTAAAGTTCAGCTCATTTTCCATTTTTATTTGACCCACTATAATATCCACTGCAGATGACTTTTTCAAATTTAACTCATTTAATGGCATTCTTAATTGCAATCAGTTTTATTTTTGCAGAAAAATCTGGTTATTGTGATCTTGAATCCTCAACTCACAACTAACAAATTTTGTCATTCTTAGATATTCGGATTCTTATAATTACGTTTACAATATTTAAAGGCTTTGACAATAGAAATTTTTTGTGTGTGCATTTAGATGTTTAGATATCTATAATGTGCACCTGCTTAACTTGCTAAAAATTTGGAGAATTCATATACAGCCCAGAAAAATATCTTACCTTGCAAATAAATGGCAAAAGGTAAGAGAAAAGAGGAGTGCTTATCAAAAATGCAACCTGTAAGAAAGCAGCAACTAGAATTGGTGTGTTCACATGAACCCAGACTTCAAGTAGTGGCAGTTTTGGTGATTATTAGACATCTAAGTATGTGTAGATACAGCAAGTATGGGGAGTTTTTGATTGCCACTCATTTCTAAATGAGATTTCCTGGCTCAAAGTAGCTCGACCTAGAAATCTGCTAGACTTCTAGACAAAAGGGAGAGGGTTAACTTTGCAGAAGTGTTGGTTTGTTTTTTCAATATGGTTCACTCCAGAGTGACCAAAGTATTTGTGTGACCTTCTCTTCAAAAAGTTTGGAAATCACTGACCTTTGCTTTTTAAATGCACCTGATTCTAAATGCAATATGTATTCTACTTATAAAATGAAAGGATATTGGTATTACCTATCAGAGTTGGGATTGGAATGCATCCAGTTATGAAATTTTGTCGGAATGGATGATGTCCCTAAAGTGAGGAAGATTGTTTACCTAACTACTTAACTTACTTTGCACTTTGTAAAAATGAGGTGCATATTTTTCCATGGAATGTTAAATCAGAATTCACTCTTCTTTATTCAGGAGATGTAATGAATGCAGTCTGTAACCTTCATTATTGAGAAGCTTTAATGATAGGTAGGTGACCTCTAATATAGAGGATATTTTAAGGTTGTCCTTCATCCTCCCAGAGATGGATTTAACCAGCTGCATTATGACTTAAGCTTGTGGTAAGCTGTGAATAAGTTGTTACATATGTGATAATCTTGGAAGACATATTGAGCAGTTTTTATCACATAGTTTTATATCATGTTGAACCTGAAGTAATGTGATCCTCAATTATTTCCATGACTGATTTCCTGGAATGAAGAAGCATTTCCAGATTGTGCCATCAGGCACTAGAACATGCAAAATCCTGGAAATGCAACATAAATTATTCTGGTGCTCATCTTTCTATAGGCTTTCTATTTTCATCAGAGTATGTTTTAGTTCATATTTTGTACTTCTGCTATTGTTATAGGGTGTTACTTCCTGTGCTTCATAATGTTCTGTAGCATTTTACTAATGTTTTAAGAATAATTTTCATGTTTTGCTGTTTTTATCAGTCATAAGTTTAGTGAGAGCTTGGACACTTTTGCACATGTTATTTGGAGATTATATAGAAGGAAATGAGGTCTCTCTTGCTATAGTTCATGTAGATGGTTGCAAGCTGTAAATATGCTTTCAGCAAATGATGACTGAGTGGCTTCTTGATGAATGTAACATGCTTCATAACCTGAATTGAAATGGCATGTTTCATGTCATGGATATTGATTCATGTTTTGGTGAAACCATTTTCATTGCAAGCTGTGGAAAAGGAGCATCTGGTCATAACCATACTTTGCCAGTCAGGTGCTACATAGCTAGAGGGTCATATATTCCAAAATGCCTGTATTTGTTCTTCCCTGCACATGTTGGGATTAGGGGAGATATCACAGTGACTTGCAGTTTGTGAAATGCCTTTTACACATTCTTATCAGAAGAATTTATGAGGAAAGTATTTTCTGGTAAAATAATAGCCTTTGGCTTCATTGCTAGAAATTGCAAGGTGGTTTTTCTCCTTTATTGTAACAAATCTTTCTTCTTGGGGATTTTCCGAAAGCTACTTGGTTACATAGGTTTTTACAATGAAATACCTTGGAAAGGAATGAATATCAGAAGGAAGTTCCCTTTGCTGCTGCTTATCAGAAGCTTTCTGATGTCAGAAGAAGCTTTCAAGACCAGTCACTATCATGCTTGCTCACATGATTAAAAATATATATTGGGAGTTCCACTGCAGTGATTGCAATTGGGAGTTCAGTTGGATTTCTAGATCTTTCTTTTGAATCCCATTCACATGAAGGGAAGTTCCTTGATGATAGGAGACAAGATGGTGCTTTGGATCATATTGAAAGAATGAAGTAAATGAAGGTCTCTCCTTTGGAATTAAAAAAGCACTCTACCAAAATGGCCAACCCACTGCAAGGCATTGTCAGGAGAAAGAAAACATTAATCCACGTGTGAGGTTAGGCATTTAGTTGGAACACACACACAAAGAGCATTAGGCATAGAAACACCTAGAAAGTTGCAGCTGAGCTATGATCAACTTGCAGCATTCTGTTGTCTATTTAATCTGGTTCTATTGAAAGTAATATAACAATGTGGCTGTTCAAAACTGCTTAGTAGGTAGTTACAAAGAATATACATTTTACTGCAGCCAATGGAAGAATAAGTGTGTTGGAAAGACTGTTTCCAATTGTCTTACTTGATAAGAATACAGACTATATATCAATTAAAATTTCTGATGGGATGAGATGGAAATGAAATCACCAAGTATAAAAATTCATATGATTGGGGCTCAGCATAGTTCATCAGTTTTCTACATCATTTATAATTCATGGTCTTTTTTTCTTCACATCATAATATAGTTTCTGTGTAGTACACTTATATCTCATGACTTGACATTAAAATGTATGAACAAAAAGTATATAAATCAGAATATAACTGATTCAAATTTCAAAAGATTTTGAACATCAGTGGAGATCAGGACATATGGAAAGCAGGTGAGTCTAAGACTAAGTATACAGAAGCAGGGAATGACCTGTTAATGGAGACGAAGGAAGAAAGAGGAAAAAAGTGGGAGAGAAAGCAGAGAGAGAAGCAGATAAAAATGACTGAGAATGTTTCTCCTCATGACAGGATGAGGAGGTTGAGATATGAGATCATAGAAAGCTCTTTATGTTCCTTGCACAGACCAATGTGTACCCTTCAGCTCAGAGGCGTAAAATGAAGGGCTTTGAAGGTTTCAAGCGCCGAGCTGTTGTCATTGTACCTCCTGAGGAGGAATATAAACGCAGACAGGAGAAAGTGGAGAAGGAAGAAGGGAAAGATGTCCCTGATAAGGCTGTATTGGAAATGAAAGGTGAGATCCATCTCCATCTTCCAGTAAGTCACGTCCCCAGGTGTTCCTGGTTACAAGTCTTCATCTTATCTTTGAAATACGATGTTTATATGTGAGTGAAGGATATATACGTTGTGAGCCTGAATCAGAAGAGGTGATACTCACTTTGTTCTGGACTTCAGTTCTAATTAGGCTGCTCCACTTTGGGTGTTGCAGAAATCCTTTCAATAATGCCACAAGCATTTATATTTTTGCAACAGGATGCAGTTACAACAGGAACATGCATGCTCATTGTTGATTATCTCCAGATCTATGGTATGATCTTTGAAATGTTTGGCAGCAGTGTTGGAATGACTAAGTACTTTGAAATTCCAAAGACTTACCAAAAGAAGCTATTGTCTTCTGTGTCCTAAACAGAAACATTTAAAATGAAAGAAGGGGAAAAATTAATGTTTTATTGCTTGTCTCCAATGTACAGGCTCTGATACCAGTCCAGGTATAATTCAATATTGATATGCGAAGTCAAATAATTTGGGAGAATATGTTGAGAAATGAAAGAAAAGGTGACATTTTGGAAATGTGAGAATTTTGGAATTCATCTCTATCTTTAGGGCTCTGAAATCATTAGATTACAGAAACTTGAATGGATGTTCTGAAAAGGTGGGGATGAACTGGTGTTTATGTGCAGGAAGGAGTAGGAATGTAGGTTTTGTGTTTATGTACTCATTAATCCATTAATTTCAATTTGTAATTTATGGATGAATGAGCTACTAAGTACTGTTTATTAAGTGGTAATGCTGAAGGAGAGAAGAAATGTTACTTTCTGAGTGATTCATGTTTTCATCAATTTTGAGACTGGAGCAGCCATTGTTTACTGAATGAACTACTTCATAACAATTTGCATGACCTTCCAAGTTGTAATGGCTCTGGTAAATAATTTTCATTTTCAAGATTGAATGATCTACCCACTTCTGACTCAGTGCTCCTTTGTATTTTTTTTTGCATTTCTTTTGCTTCAATGGTTCTTATAGTGGAGATGATTGTGCACTGAGAAAACTATTCATATACTTTGGAAAAATTTTTATAGTGAACATAATGTTTTGTAGAGAAGCTAGTAATTTTATATTTCTGAGATTGTGGACAATTGATGTGTAGTATCTGCTGTCACAGGGCAGTGAAGAGAAGCAAATCCAAATTTATCTGAGGCCTGACAACAGGGTAAAATTTTGTTTCTCTGGATATAACAGCAGATTGCCAAATTCATGTCTAGGACTGAAGATTTGATCATGATAGGGAGAAGAGGGGTGTTACTACTGTCCATCCTGTGGGTCCATATTTGAAGGAGAATTGAGGTTCATCCATACACATATGTATGATGGGAAATAAAGGAATTCTTACAAAAAAGGTCCTTGTTTTAGATTTGTTGATGGATTGATGAACAAAACCTAAGCATATTCATGCAAGGGATGCAGGGAGGCAGGAAAGAACCATTGAAGCATGCATGCAATCATTTGTTTGTGTTAGAAATTTTTTCTACAAGTGATATTGATTGGTTTGGATGGTATTGCACAGCCAATTTCAAGCTTCCCATGAAGGGTGACCTGTTTGATGAGGTGGATTTTGCTGAGCTTGACCGATCAGAAGCTGAGAAACTAGTGGCGAAATACAATCAAGAAGGCATTGATGCTGGATTCACCCCCAAGGGACCTCCACCTGAAAAGAGATTCAGACCTGACAGGGGGGATAGAAATGACAGAGGTTTGTGATTTAGCTGATTTGCTGAATCCTGTCATATTGCTGTGCTGCTTTTTGCAAGGATTTTACCCTATATTACATTATGGGATTCATAAAATGCCATTTTTTTATGCCAAAATAATCTCCATTGACAGTTTTGTTGCTATGTGAAGCAATGCTTTGAGGCAACAAGCATAAGCTTCTGTCAGGGAGTTATAGGATTGTGTAACACAGTGCTTCATGGTTTCTATTTTGGTTGCCATTAGATTTTTAAAATAGTTTATTAATTCATGCACTATATGGTTAATATCAGGTTATATCAGGTGACACCTATGAGCAATTATATTAGGTTGTCATTTGAGGGGTAGGAACAAATGAAAATGTTGCTTTGAATGGTTATAGTAAAATATTTAATATTATTAAAATGAAAGGCAGGAAGTGCAAATGAGACCAACTAGATGCTGTGATACTGTGTTGCCTATTTGAAGATGAGCATTCTTCATAGATGACAAAGTATTAAAATTTCTTTCTTGGATAGTTCCATTTTTACATTGAGAGGGGCATATCCAGCATACTCAGTCCAGATTCAACAATTGACCACGCTGAATTGTTATTGCTGATAGTATTGGTTTTTTGGTGACAGATGGTCGAAGTTATCATCAGCGTTCCAGCACGTGGCAAGGGCCAGGTCAGAGTCATGGGCGTGGAAGTGGCTTTGGAGGATTCCGTGGGAGTGATCGTGGATGGAGAGGTGGCTGGAGGGGTGGACCTCCAAGAGGAGGTGGTCCTCCTTACCGGAGCGGGAGCAATGATCGTTACAAGGATAGGCGGGATTGGCAATCTCCCAGCCCTCGCCAAGATCGCAATGTAAGTGTTTGTATGTTCAACTAAAGTGAGATTCATTCTCTAGCAAATCTTTGATGATTAAATTTTGAAAATATGTCATCTTATTCTTGCCACCAGAGCAACTATGGGAGAGGAGGTGGATATGGAGGATGGCAGGGAGGAGCCCAAGGCTATGATAGAGGTGTGGACTTCATTTTGGTCATGCAGTTATACTACATTGCCTGTTCTCTTTGCTTTACTCTCTTAATTCTCATTATTTGCAGCCTATGGACAGTATGGTGGATATGGAAATTATGGTCCTCAAGCAGGAGCTGGTGCCTCTAATAATTATCCTGGCTATGGCAATTGGAATCAGCAGGGGTACTATGGGAATCAGGGATGGGTAGGTTCTCCCTCCACTCCTGACCTGCTTGTCTGATCCTTCAAGTCATCACACTTGCTAACCATTGTGATTCTGGTCAATGCTGTTGAAATGATGAAACATGACTCTTCTTTCCCCATCTGATTTTGGGACAGTATATCATATTCATGAAGATGAAAGAGTTCTGATTCATAGCAACCTTCAATATAAACCTGAAATTGTTTTTTCTCCTCTTGAAGTTGCACAATCATCTTTCTTTTTTTTCTCTCATTCAGGGTGGCTACGGAGGGTACCGAGGATACTACTAAATTCCATGGCCAGTATTTTCTTCATCTCAGTCCTGCATCCTATGAAGATGACACTGTTTTCTTTTGACCTATTCTGTTCACATTTTCCTATCATTTAGAATTGTTTGGATTTGGAAGAGGAAAATTTCCATATTCCTTGCAAATGTTATGACATACTGTCAATTTGGAATCAGTACCTGCAGGTTTTCTCAACCATGGACAGTGCATGTTTTGTACAAGTGCAAGTGTGTGTGAATGGTGGTGCTGTATCAGGAGTTGCCTCTTTGTTCAGTACTGTTTTTCAAACATAACTATCCCTTTTTTTCTCTCTCTGATAAATGGCACTTTTGCTAGTGCCTGCAGATTTCTGTCTAAAATTCACCTTGGCAGTATCATGCTCTAACTGGATTTTCATGTTGCTTAAGAGTATGTATTGAATATTTTGGATGTATGTTGCCTTGTTGAGTTCCTTCATGAGATGCTGTGTTGGCAGCTTGACAGAAGCTCTGACAGTAGTCCAGGGAACCCCAGAAACTCTGCTGACCATCAAACTGAAATGAGAAAGAATGAGAATCCATATAGGCTGTCTGTCCTTGGTGTCTCTTCCTTGCATATGCAAACACAGGAAGCAATTTTAGCTTGGTTCTTCCTTGTCCCCATTTTGGAAATAAAATTCTTTTTCTCTTCTGCCCAAAATGGCAAGAAAGAGGCAAAATGATGGGAAAAAAATTGAGATGCTTTCTTGTGGTCCAATGAACTGGAAATTTTCATTGAATTTTAAGCAAATTTCTGGAACTGGTTTTCATTCACTCAGGTAAGTTGAATCTTGGAACTCATTGAACAGCTGTAGTGGATGCATGGTTTTTGGTTCTTTCATTCATTTGTTTGGTTGATGAATGACCTCAATAAAATACATGTTGTGTATGGAGAAGTAAATTCGCAAGAGGATGTGAATGTTTGAGCGTTGGGATTCATTCACAAGGAGAGAGCTCTTGGTTGCAAGATGCTCATGTTGTTGCCTTCTGGTCAGACTTCTCCTAACTCAAGAACTCCAGGAACAATTGAGCCTAAGCTTCATTCAGACTTCCAGTATAGTGTGCAAGAATTTATATATTGATAGTCGGTACAATTAAATTGTATTACGAGAAAAGTGAATTATTCTCAACATTATCTTTCATTATCGACCAAACAGCAATGTTGACGGCAATAGGTTTTGGAAATACGTGAGTTCAATTTACAAGAGGATCAGGTCTTGCTTTGTTGAAGTAGTTTGTGTGAAAGTAAAAGGCATTTGAAGGCATACGCAGGATTGCTTAAAAAAAAAAAAGCTCAAGCTTGTTTTTTCATAACATCCTCTGTCTCACATTTTTATCTGAGAGGTGAAATATTGCTGGGAGTGAAGCACATAGAACCTTTGGCCTAATTCAGAAGTGTGAGAATGAAATTTATCAGCAGTTGAGCATAGCAGTTTTTAAGACATGAGCCTGTTGGTCTAAGTACAGTTAGTCGTTTGAGCATATCCATGGTTAGATCGGATGAGTCAAAAAAGAACGCACCGCTATTTGGAGTCACGAGATTGCGGGGCAGTTTTTTTTATTTATAACTTCTACGTATATTTTAAACAGCTTAAAATTCTTGTCCCATTCTCCTGCCGTTTTAGCGAAAACGCGAAGGCAACTCCAATTTTATTTGTGGGCAAGGAATTGTATCTGTAAAAGAATAGTTGGTATGCGTGGAGCGCACCAATCCAAGGCTAGAGCTCCTCCGCCTGCTCAGATATGCTACTCTGCGAAAGCACGGGGTGGGGCAGAATTTTGCATGAGTTACGTGGTTATGAATAAAATAATCTTAGACCTATCATTGAGAAGATGGTTTAGTAGCTACGAGAAACCGGTTCATCAGATAAGAAGAGAAGGAGCGGAAGACTTAACCCTTTCAGACCTGAATTAAGGCCGCTATCGGAATAATATCCTTTTTTTAAAAAGCATTTTTGAGCTTTTTCGTGATTTTAATAGACAATTTCATGCTTTATATGTAGTTTTCATATTTTGTATAAATTTACCATATTCCATATATATTAGGTATTTAATTAAATAACTGAAGATTACAAAATTAATAGGTGAAAGAAGGCCTCTGATAGAACTGAACCGTGCATAATTGCGCCCATTGTAGCGTAATATGGGGCGCAAAGTCACGAGAATCCTTAGAAATAGCCATAGACACAATGCAAATGCTATGTCCATTGGAATGGACGCCAGGTCCGAAAGGGTTAAACTGACCGGAACTGAAAGAAACTGTGTTCATGTGACATCAGTCATGTTTTCGCAAGATTATAATCCAGGGATGCAAAATTCCCATTTGCAAATTGCCGAACGTTAGGACGAGTCAAAGATATGCTTAGCGGATTTTGAAGTGCAGACCGCGTCACCGTGACTCACTGGATAGGGGCTCGGGCGCACGCGGGACGTCCAGGTTCGAATCCAACCGGCGGCAGGCGGTATTCTTCTGGGCCGACTATTCACCCAGCTGCTTTCGGGTACTACCTGCTCTCCCTTGGAAGCATAGGCCACGCTGTGCCTCATTGTGTGAGGTAGGGGCTTGTTGAGTCTCAATAGCCCCGCCATATCGGCCCTGGCGACCCCTCGATGTGCAGCGATGAAGGGCCTCTGGCCGGAGCGACATCGAAGTTGCCACCACTGTTCGTCCCAGTCTACATTTTTTATTATTTCATTCTATTTAAAACAAAAGGGATTTTCAAGTGCAGAGGAAAAACCCTTGAAGAATTGTCTTGGAGTGAGTGGGGCAGGTCCGTCAGCGTCCTGGCGCGAGAGCGAAAATAACTTTTAATTTGCTTTTGGAAAATCACTCAGTTAAAACAGCTAGAGAAAAAAAAGGGAAAATTTTCTCAGATGCTCAAAGGAAGCATAGAGATGTATACGGAAAAAAATCGTCATTTTAGCTGCTGTTTCAGAGGTACCACAACTTGCAAAGAGCGGTACGATTTTTTTTGCCTCACCTGGTCAAGGGGGACACAATATGCAATATACTCCAATGTGACTCAAGGTTGTTTATATCTAATTGCATTTTCTCATGGTATTTTCACTACTTTTCATCACTTGGAAGTTGTTTGAAATAGCACTGGTTTGGTCTATATGAGGCAAATTTATCTTGAGACTGAAAGTGATTATTCCTTAAAATTAAAACCATAAAAAATGACAAATAGGAGGTGAATATCCTATCACATACTTTTCTTATTTGTCTTGTGGACTCGTAAAGCTGAGAAGATGCATAAGTGGATGAGGAGGCACCTGCCTTGATTTTTTGAGTGTAGTCGATTTAATTCAATGCTATGGTCAACTATTCTTCATGGATTACAACCTGTTGCTTTCATTTGTGTGCCTAAGACTGGACTCCCAATGCTTGCTACAATGCATCTTAAAATTTGGGCAATCATCCTGTCAGCTTGAGCATGTCCAGCTGCATTCTGGTAAACTGCAAGTGTGAGGAATATACATGCATTATCAAGATTCATGGCGGAAGCCATGGAACCAAAAGAAAGCTTTCAATCAGGATGAAGTTTCTTCTTGACCAAGTTCAAGGAATCTGGTAGTCCTGAGATGGTTGCCATAGTGATGAGGGAAAAGTTCTCTAGCTTCTTTGAGGATGACAAAGCATGGTGTGTGTTTGAAATTTGAAACTTTATGCCAGGAAGAAAGTGGAGTTGTCTTTGAAATGGGGTTGTGTTTAGTAGGGTGTTTTGCTATTCTTGTGAAGCTCCAGTCTATATCTTGGATTGCATGAAAAGCATACAGATGTTGACCAAGCAGAGTCTAGGGCATGCAATCTTATATGGTGCTCACATAAAGACAGGTACTTCAGTCTGTGTTCTGTCATGTCTTGTGCTGTTGTTCAAAATGTCAGAATGATCCAAAACCCAAATCTATTCACAAGTTATTCCTGAAAAGCTCTGCAATGTCTACATGGAGACTTGCCTGGTTCATTCCTTAGATAAATGTTCCATGATTGTCACTGATGGTTTGTCCAAATGACCAGCAGTGACAGCCTTGTAGCTGTTTATGTAGAAGTTTATTCAATCTTGGTAAAGAATCATCTTTCTTCAGGCCTTGCTTAAGCAGATAATCAGAATTATGAACTTTAATTCACATCCACTGGTTGAAATACATTTACCTCAACCACATTTATAATTTGTGGAGTTTCAATATCATGCTGTAATCAATGGATAGGATGAATTGCTTATCCCAATACACCAAAGTTTGACAAGCAATTGCTGTTTTCTTGAAAGTGAAAAAAATAGTTTCACCATTTTCTAGTTTCCTTTTGACTATTGCATCACCCCTTTTACTTCAGCAAAGGAAGAAAAATTGAATTGCAACAACAGATCTAGCTGATGTTGAAGATATCATCCAGTGGTTTGGTGATGGAGAATTTTCTTTTTTGCCTTTGAGACTCATATAATAAGTAACTTATAGACTGATCATCTTATCTCATGTGACAACCTTATGAAGTTTTGATTGGGAACAAGAAGCAATGCATCAAAATTCAAGTTTTCCTAAATTTCTTTTCCTGATGAAACATGAGCAAAATGGGGAGATGAAGCAGTGTGTAATGATTGTGCAACCAGGCTACAAAATGAACTTGAACTTATGATCAATCATTGTGCAGCATCTCTGCAATACCCACAAGCCACAGCAGATAATGTATCTGCTTTTTGTGATGCAGTTTCTGCAGCCAGAGCATGAGTAATTAGTAGATGAACTTAGTTAATTTCTTGAATGCTAAGAATGCTAAAATACCTTTATAATAGTGTTATGGAGAATGTGCCCACCACATGAAAAAACTACCTTCTGTGTGCAGAGTCAACCTCAGAAAACTCACTACTTAATGGGTTAAGGCTAAAAGTCATTGGCTTTTCTTTTTTTATTCTGTATCCTGTATATGCCATGGATTTCTAAGCGTGCTTGATGCGTGGGTGACACTTGACCTGTCAGTAAGCTTCTTGGTTTCAAATGATTACAGGAATTCTGATATTTGTAAATTGTGGTGACAAATATATCCTTACTCTTCAGTTAAGATTGCAAGCCCCAAGGAGTGGTGAAAAAAAAAATAATGTCCTCAAAAAATGTTTCAGATACCATGCATAGCAATTAAGAAAAAAACTGATGCTCTGAGCCTTTGAAGTAAATATCACAACAAACTAATTGTCCGTGCATGCCATATAATTCTTGAGTATTCTTTATTTTTCTGCTAAGTCTGACAGTTTTGAACAAAAATATAATGTGCAAACTGTTTTAAAATGCAGCTAATAATTTAAAAAATGCTGACAGCATAAAATGACAGTGGCTGAAAGCACCCAATGCAGTAGGAGGTTCAGTGTGCTTGATTTCAGTTGTTGATGGAATTGATGTGAAAATCATAACATCAGGAACAGTTTTATAGGTTGTAGTTTTGTGATTTGGACATTAGAAAGAAAAAAATTGGTTGCTTATACCCTATAGCCAGCAGGATATTATACAGTCAGCTTTAATTATTTTAGCTGCATTTTTATACTCCTTGTGCAGCATAACTACAATAACAAGCAGATTTGGCAGCCTAATAGAAATATTCACCTCAGTTGCATGCCATGCTACTGGCAGAGTTGTAGTTAGACCATGTTTATTTTTTTTTTCAAGTTTATTAATTTGAGAATGTTAACCCCTTAAGTGGGGAATTTTAGGGACAGATGTCTACCACCAGAGTGAAGGTTTTTTTGGGTTTAGTAGTAATTAGTGCTTGTGCACAGAAATTGGACTATTTTTGAATTTTATTCTCCTATTTCAAGTTTCAAGCTCAAATCTAACTTGAACTTTAAAAATTGTGGGACATATATAAGGATGGGGCAGTCAATTGATCAACTTTGACCATTATTGACAGGTCTTTTTTTTTATTCAGTGATTTAAGACATTTTTATATAGCTCATAACTCTGGTCATTTATCTTCCAGCACTAAAACCAAAGAGCCAGTTCCATTTTAAAGTTTTATTCATGCCAAATATCTGGACTGAGGCACCTTCTTTAGTATGAAAATATTATAGCAAATGCTCAAACTACCTTGACCTCTCACCTGAGTGGTGTAGAGTGTGTACAGGCATAGCCTGCTGTTAAGGATCTTTGAGCCTTAATAGCTTTAAAAGTTAAGGTTCAAGATCTAAAGTATAGCTTTAAAACATTAAATTAATGCAAGATCTATCGTGGTCTTGGCAAATAGTCTGCATCAGAGTATCAAATCATTCTTAGAGTCTATGATCAAAGGAAAAGTACTTAGATTATGCCTAGGCCTATGCCTAAAAAAATTAATCTAGCTATGAAGAACTTCCATGAGCAAGGCAGAGGCTATTTTTTCTGGCAGAAGCAGGAATAAATGCTAACATCAGAAATCATGAAACTCCAGTTCTGGAAACTATGTGTAATGTTCCAACTCATGCAATCCATATGGTAAAGTCTTTTGTAGTGATGAGATGTTGACTGGTCAACATGGTCATTATGATCATATACAGTCATAAGGCCTAACCTTTTGTTGGGCTCATTGACCTTTATTGGTTATAAATGGTCAGAAGTGACCATGTTGACTAGTCTATCACTTGTAAGTCATGACATGCAAATGGAGCATGAACTGTGCAGGAAAAAACAAAATAAAAGTTGGCCTTATTGACAATAATTGACCGTAGTTCACATTATTAATCAGTCAATTGACTGGTCATAATCACATCCCTAGACATATACGAATGTGAAATCCATCCAGGAAATGTTTTTGCCATCGATATATACGTCATACCCACTTAAGGGATTAAAGATTTGTGTAAGTGGGTTTTTGTGTCACTGTTTAGCATTGATAGGTGAAAGGGTTTAAATGTGGATAAGGTGCTAACCTTTCAAAGGAAATTGCTATGGTTCTGCCACCATATCCATGACCACTCTGAGCAAATTGAGTCTCCTTTGAGATAATTGTGCTACAAGGATGTCTTACAGGATTAGAATGGGAAGGATTTTAGCTGGAGTTATGGGTAAGAGAAAGGAAAGAGTTATATGTACTGCTGAAGTGTCCAGTTTTTATTAATAGATGTAAAACTACCTGTGCTTTGTGACTTCTCATGGTATGTGCATTATGCTTATTTATCTTTTTGTAATCATAGTACTAAAAATAAATGAATTCTCTTCAGAACCTCCAAACCTCAGGTCAAGTACCATGGCTGTATGCAGTATTGACTCAAGAGCTAAAGATAGCTGTATATCACAACCCCTCTCCCTCTTCCCCCAAAATTAGCTTAAGGTTGCCGATTGAATTATGTGTGGCACTTTCTGCCCTTATACATGTGGATTGGACTCAACTAATGGGTGGCTTAAGAAAATGATGATCAGACTAGGCCATGCACAACCTTCATATCTGTAGCTCAGATGATGGAGGAATCACATGAAGTCCCTTCTAAGAAAGCAAAAGTAGAAGATGTTGAGGGTGATCTCAAGAGCCTAAAAGAATTCAAGCTAAGACAAATCTTGAATGAAAAACCAGAAAGGCGAACAATCTTCCTGGAAGGAGAATTTCAAGATAAGCCTGGAACTGCTGTTTTGATTCTGGAAAAAACTCCATTTATCAGTACAGATATTGAGAATGTGATTTCAACTAGTGTCATATCTGAGAAGCTGTTTCACAATTCCATATATGGAAACTATCTAATTTCTCCTCAGTCTGACTTCAACTGTAAGTCTTCAGCAATCCTTCTGATTTTGAATCCCATGCAATTTCATAAATTGAAGGTGGTTAATTTTGCAGTAGTGAGATCAACTCTGGTTTACCCAGCCACTGACAAGCATATTCAAAAGTACAAGAAGCAGAAGCGGTTTGTCTTTGTTGAGACTCCTGATGTGTATGAGAATGTGATAAAGCCCTTCATCAAGGAGAATCACTTCAGCACTCAGGTGAGCCTCACTGTTCTCAAAACATCAGATTCTTGATTTCTTCTTTATTGATCCAATGTCTTGTTTGTGGCAGTGGGTGGAGAATATCCTAAATCACAAATGTGAAGTTGAGCGCATCATTTGTGAGGATCTTGACCCATTGAAAGGATTTGTCCTTCTACCTGATCTCAAGTGGGATGGAAAATCCCTTGAAGCCTTCTATGCTCTTGCAATCGCTCGCAATGCAGAACTGAAATCTATCCGAGACCTGACTGAAGTGCATGTCCCCATCCTTCAAAACATTTATTCCAAATCAATAGTGAACCACTCTGTTCTCCTATTTTCCTGATTTATATGTTTTTTTTTTCTTGGAATGCTCCTAGTATCAATTTGCCTCTTTTCTCCCAGGAGGCAATTGAAAAGAAGTTTGGGGTCCCAGCATCAAGGCTTCGTGTTTATTTTCACTACCAGCCCTCTTATTACCACTTGCATATTCACTTCTGCCACATTGATTTTGAAGCACCTGGTTAGTCACTAGTTATCACAGGTGCTACCAGATTTTTTTGCTTGCTCTTGAAGATATTTTATGTCTGACATTTTTCTAATTAGGAAGTGATTGTTTGAAGGGTCATCTTCTGCAGGCAGTGATCAACAATATCCAGCTGTCACCAGACTACTACCAACAAGCATCTCTCACATACTCCTTGAAAGAGAAAGAAACTCTGAGTCAAAAACTCATATTGTTAGGTATCTATCCTCTTCTCCTATCCTCTTCTTTATCTACATAACTTTGCATGAAGTAATTTCCCCTTTCCTTCCTAGGATACCTGAAAGTTGACAGCCATGGAAAAGAGGATTTGGGTGACAGTTGAAGTGAGACCCCTCCTAAAAGCAGGCACTTTCTATCTCAAAACTGAAAGACCTTTCAATAACTGTACTGTTGAGATCAACAGAGGCAAGGTTCATGTCCAGTTTGAGTCATCTTTTGATGATATTGATGTTGGTAGTAATCCAATAGTGCATCATTCAGGACTCATCCTATGCTTGGAAGGTCTGGATTGTATAAGTGATTCATTGACAAATCTTCAACTCTTCCCTGATGGCTTAACGTTTCGTGTCCAACTCCAAGGAGCTTTTGAATTTGGAAGTGTGAGAGCAGAAGTGATCTGTTTGAGTGAAGTGAGTGATAATATCAAGTGCAAAGGAGCAAGTGACATGTCTTCCATAAAAGACAAGAAGCCCTTCTCGATCTCATGTAGAATCTGTGGGAATTTCTTGGTTCATGGAGTTACTCCCTCTCGGGTCCTTCCTATTCCTATGGATGACTGGAAATCTTCTGTTGGAGACTGGTTTTGCCACTTTCATGAAGTTAGTAGTACATTCTCATGCCTTGACACAGGCACTCTTTGCCTATATTCTCCCCTATCTCTTCAGCTTGGATCCCAGCTCTCATCATCCTGTGGTCTTCAGAATGGGGAAAAAGATATCAGATGCCCTACATGTGATTCTTGCTGTGGCCAGCAATCAAAGGACAAATCCTGTCTTCTGTTTCGTGATATGGTTACCCTTAACAGCATTGGAGAGGATTTGCAAGATAATCCATTAATAACTTTCTGGCACGTAATGCGTTTATCTGAATCAAAGTCTCTCTTGAACTTTGGGTTAGAATTTGAGAGTGAAGAAGGAAAGTTGCATGTGTTTGGCTGTAAGAGTCAGCTGGAAGTGGCATCCAAAGAACTTCAATTCCCATTGGGAGGGACAATGATGGTGTCACTTAATCTAGAGCCTGGTGTTCATCTTCTATATCAATGGAATCAGAAACCATCAACAGCATGTGTTGGTCCTGGAAATTTTGCCAGATGGGATGTTCACCATGTTGGAAAGAATTTCTCATCCCTTGTCTTGAAGGCATTGAGCTCTATCACTATGAAACTCCCTATATCTGTCAGTTGTCAAGATGACTTCTCCATCATCATTATCTCTTATTCTTCCATGTTTTGAGTTAATACTTGAATGCTAACTCTTGGCATGACACTTTGTACATTTTGGGGATTTTTGGCAGTTGCAATGGTTTTAATATTTTGCCAATATATGGTGATGTCATTTTTCAATAAAGTTCTGTTCCTGTTGAATGGCATCATGTGATGGTATCCCATGACATGGTAATGAAAGCATATACTTGCAAGAGAAAATGAGGATGACATGGATGGAAACTTGCATCCAATCCTGATTGGAATGCATCCCCTGAATTTGGGGAAGAAAGATATTCCATAATTGGACCTCGAACCAGGAGATATGACGTGGTCATTCTCTCATCAAGGAAGATACAGTGTGTTAGCTAAAATAATTCCAGTTTTACAGGGTGTCTGACAGAAAGTGCCTGATTCCACATGATTGGAACTTTTTCAACTGAATACCTACACCCATAATATCACTGTGTTCTTTGAAGTCTGAAATTTGAGGAAAACTGTACTTGCTCTCCTCAAAATTTTGTTAATATCCCCCTTTACACTGAAACACCTGACAGAAATTCAAACTGTCTCCTGTAGACTCACTGAGGAACCAACTTGGTTTGACAGCTATTCACAGTAGCAGCTAGTCAGCATGCTAATAATATGCTCTTGGTGCAGTGCAGTGCAGTGTATTCTGTGATTTGCTATGTTTAAATCGGCAATTAAATTTCAGCATGAGATTTGCCAATTCTGCCAGAAAAATCTGCAAGATCAGAGATTATCAAGTAATTTGATGATTTTAAGCACTCTGGAAGACTTCAATGGCAGCATTGAAGCACTTTCAAAAATACAACTGTGTTTTTGACCAGCAAGTGGAGATTTCCAAAAGTCTCTGACTTCATGTTGACTTCATGGAGCACACTAATAGAAAAAAGAAGGATCCATATGTCTAGCTGAAAAAGTTTAATCATTTTACATCTGGAATTTCCATTGGACATTAAACTGTCAGTCCTTTTCTTCTAATAGTTGGTACAACAATTCAGGTGGAGAAGGGAGTGTGTAAGGTGGACCCTCTCCTTCTAATTTGGAATCTCATCATGCCATATGCTTGATACACCAAGAGGCATCTCGTTGATCATAGCCTGAAATATATCTGAACTGAAGGATTACTAGATTGGATCATGTTCCTCCACATATCCAGACCAATCTTGTCTCCCTTGTTACGACCCAGGGTCCAATCTCTTCTGCGACAACAGGTTTTTTTTTGCTATTCAGATCATAAGCAGAGAGTTTATATATGCTGGACATTCTTGAAGGAATTTTTTTTCTAGCGTCATACAGGGCCTGGAATGTATGATCACATGATAAATGGTATAAGGGTGGAGGAGGACAAGAAGCCTATAGGGTTTGTGGAATCAAAGGAGGATTGGCATTATGTGGAGGCTCTCTTTCCCAAAACCTACATCCCTGATTTCCCCATCAAGAATTCATATTCATCAGGATGGATCCCCCCTCAAGGTTCAGCAATTTTTAAAAATTATATTGGTCCAATTGAAACACTTTACCACAATGGCCTACATAGGAAAATGAAACTCAACATTGGGAGCTCAAGTTGTCCTCAGGATAGTGACAGTAATGAGTTTTCAACATTATGGTAGTTTGATGGTCTACCTAAGCTTGCCCTTAGCATCATGCTAAGTGGACATATACAGGGTATGACAAGAAAAAAGACCAATTACTTTTTACCTTAAATATCTCCACTCACAATAGAGCCATTTTCATAAAACTTTTGCTATGCATATATGAGTATGTTTCCAAGTGATTCTAAAAAATAAAGTTAAATGTCATGGAGCAAAAATCTCCCCCCCCCCTCTCCCCCAAGTTCTTAAATTCCAACTTATTTGTTGATGTCCTGGAGGGTTCTTTAATTACCTGAATTAAAGCTAAAAGAAAGAGAAATCAATCTATGATTACATATTTTGATTTCTATTTCTATTTGCTTATTTGGAATGAAAGTTGGTGCTTGAAAGTTATAATGTTTTACTTCAAATTTTATGCTTTAAAAATGAAAAACATGAAATAGAAAGCATTTGTATGATCTTATTATAATCGATTATCAGAATTGTAGGGTATAGAGGCTGGGAAATATGGCCCTGCAGTCTTGCAGTAACTACAGGATCTCAGTCTACAGTCTACAGTCTACTAGATCTCAGTACTACAGTTCAAACTTTCCTGGTACTGCACAGCCCTACTAGAAATTGAATTTCTAGAGTCTTTGGCATGCAGACAAGCAGGGTTTATTTTTGTGAATTTGGCCTGGTATTGAGCATTTGTAAAAGAAGTACAAAATTGCCTGATTATGGTGATGCAATACTGCAATACTGATGCAATTGAATCCTTCCCTTGTCCTGTTTTTACTGGGATGTGACTAACAAGAAAGAATCAGGACTTCAGATACCCTTACTAAAAAGGAAGAAGATTTGATTCAAATGAGGTCAGGGGTTGGTGGTTGTAGTGAGATCCTTATGTCCTTTTTTTTATTTTATTTTTATTTTTATTTTTTGAGCCATTGATCAGCACCAAGTTGGTGTTGGCCAAGCCACACTTAAACAATATAGGTTTTTGTGACTTGGTATCACTAAAATCCCCACAAAGCTGAAGATCCTGAATTAGGTTTCCCTTTGATCTCTAAATGTAAACCAAATGTCAGGGTTTCCTGGGATACTCAACTTCAATGTTTAAGGATTCATTTCTGAGATCCAAAAGACTTCTTTCATTGAATGCAAGAGGCTTGCTATGATTTTTTACTTTGATATCCTGAGAACTCTGCAATTGTGAACTGTCAGCCTGTGATAGGTGATGGTAATGATGCCATTGGCATGGCAAAAAGCTTTAAAATTTCCAGATGCCAGTCTGTTTTTCTGACATTATTTTACTACAGGGAATAATGTCAAAATGATAATCATGAGCCTATTCATTGAGAAATACCATTGGCTTCTCTCTGAATTGAATGTGTATGTGAACAAAGTCATGCCATAATTATAAGGACCAGGAAGAAAATATATTTTAAGGCTGAGGTTTGTGCATGCTGTAAAGGATTGCTTTGGGCATGGCTATGACTAATTGAATGCACATGACTAACTGATCGGTTGTGTATACATATCCTGTGACAATGAAAACCATGTTCCTGCTCCATTATTGGCTTGTTATGAGACAGAAACAGCATGAAAATTTTGCAATTTCATTATAAAAGCTTGTTTTTGGTAATTGGCACTAGAAAATTACTTCATTACAAGGTATATATTGTAATATAATTCATTACAATGCTTTATAATTTGTATAGGGAGATGCTGGGGCCAACCAAGTGTTGATAAATTTTTCATTAAGTGGTATTTTTCATTCAAGCATACTTCATTATAATGAGCACTGAATGTTGTGACATTTTCCACATGGGTAGTTTCATGGGATCACTTGGTGAAACAGATACTTTAGTATTAGTGCTTTATCCATTTCTCACTATCTGGGGGGGAGGTACCAATTAACCCTTTCAGACCTGAATTAAGGCCACTATCAGAATAATCTACTTATTTGCATTTTGTGCTCTTTTCCTATTCTACTTAAAATTTTTAATATATTGTTTTTATGTTTTGTATAAATTTACCTGTATTATATATTATACATGTAATTAAACAACTGAAGATTACAAAACTGACAGGTGAGAGAAGGCCTTCAATAGAATTGAGCCATGCATAATTGTGTTCATTGTAGTGTTACACAATGGGGGTGCAAAGGGGCACAAAGTCACAAGAATCCCAAGAAATTACTATTGAAACAATGAAAATGCAATGTCCATTGGAATGGACACAGGGTCTGAAAGGGTTAAATCTAATAACAGTGTGAATTTCTGGTGTAGGTTTTTTATGATGGCAGAAAATGCAAACTCATCCACAAATACGAATCCCTGTCTATGAACAAACAAATGTCCCTTTATAGCAACTGAAGATTAGGATTAGGATCTTTTTATGATGGCTATTTTTCCTCCTTCCTCCACTCCTACATTCATACACAGACTGCATGTATACTAGACCCTTCAAGAATGCCAATTCTAGAAAAGAGAAATATGGGAGTTGTCAAGGGCCAATGTTCTCAGCTATGGAAATTATAGCTATGGAGAAGCATGACAAAAAATAACTTCACAACATTGTCAATTTTGTCAGTGGGATGAAATGAGTTAAATTTATAAGTGAGATTCTAGCATATAAAAAGCTCACTATGAGCAGGGTATAAGTTCATGTATCTTTGACCTTTAGGCCAGGACAAGACTATATTAATAGCTCGATTTGAGACCTCATTAAAACCAAGTTCAACTGAAACTTCATTGAAGTGTCCAGTTTGCTGTGATGCTGTAAAGGAAGTTCTATATGATGATGGAGCCTCTGTATGATGATGTAGCCATGCTTTTCTCATTTGAAATGTATTCATGGACCATAAACAGAAGTTTCGTTTATGAAAGTAGACTAGGGTTCGTGATTATTTAGTTGCTGCAGAAACACGGGCATGTACACAGTGTTTTGAAAAAAAGCTGTGCCAAATAATTTTCACTATTAATGACAGTAAATTTTATCAGATAAACTTAATTTTTTAAACATATCATGTAAATAGAGGAAAGAAGGTCTGTGCCAAATTTTATGAAAATTGATGCATTGCATCACATTTTGCACCATTTCAAAGTTGATATGTAAAAAAGTGTGCCAATTTATTTCTTTATAGGAATGGTAGTAAATTTAATCTGATGGACCCAATATTTCATATACTGCATTCAGATAGATGAAAGAAGGCTTTTGCAAATTTTGAATGGGATTGACTGAATGTATCACGTGATACATCATTTAAAACTTGAAGGCTAAGAAAATGCACCAGACATGCCCACTGATGTGTTCGATTCAACCAGTGAAGCAAACTTCCTTTTGCCATTCTGGATTGCACTCAAACACTCGCTTGCTGCACAGCTGAGACGAATGCATCAGCAAGCATGTCAGGGCATGTTCAAGTTTTAAACGGTGTATCATGTGACAGAGTCTGTCAATCTCATTCAAAATTTGCAAAGGCCTTCTTTCATCTATCTGAATGCAGTTTGTGAAATATTACACTGATCAGATGAAATTTACTATTATTCCTAAAAAAAATTAATTGGCAGTTTTTTTTTGAGCTCGTATAACACACTTTTTTACACATCAAGTTTGAAGTGGTATAGAACGTGATACAATGCATCAATTTTCTTAAAATTTGGCACAGGCCTTCTTTCCTCTATCTACATGCAATGTTTACAAAATTAAGTTGATCTGATAAAATTTACTGTCACTAATAGCAATAATTATTTGGCAGTTTTTTTTAAACACCATGTACTTTCAGGCAAAAGAAGTTCTGGAATGTCTAGAATCACTTTATTAACATGTTGACTGCCACAGCTATGCTGGCCTATTGATTTTCCCATTCAGTGAGGCGCACCAGTGCACCTCGTGACGGTGAACCTGTAAAAAATAAAAAGCAGTTTATATTAGACTTGAATGCTGAAATCTCCTTTTGGTAATGGTCCTTTAAGAATAAATTGAATCTTATGGGAGAAAAGGAGCTCTTTAACTTTGAGGTCCATTTATCTTCCCTAAATGAGGTTTGTGCATTTGGGCTTTAGTTTATAGAAGCAATTGTAAACTCTTTCCTTTGGATCTCTACTTTGACTAGTGATAAGAAAAATTTGATGACAGGCTGAATTTATTTTTCTTGAGGCAGGAGGTGATCCAAGTCTCCCATACATGGTAGAGAGAACACCTAGTCACATGCTCCCTGTTTATTTAGTACTCAAAAACCGTGGTCAGATCAGACGAACTATCATAAGGAGAATCCAGGGGGATGTTTGGGTGAGCTTTTTTTTATCTCCTTTCCATCAAATATAGCCATGAAAAGACTAAGCTTGATGTCAGTCAAGGTGTGGATAAATCTTCTAGGCTCTTGAACGTGACTTGAAGAATTTTTTGGAGGAAAAACATGAGAAGCATGTGGCAACTAGGGTGCATGAGCTGGCTTGTACTCTCCTTCTCAAAGGTGATCATGTCAATGATGTGAAAGACTTCCTCATTGATAAGCGTTTCTGAGTGCCACAGTACATAGATTTTTAAAATAAATTGTTCCTACTTGTTTCTATTGTACTTTTTGCATTTATTCAATTATCAGCAAAAGAATTTAGGAGCATTGTGGCATTAGAACCACAGATGATCAAAATGCATCTATTTGCTCCTGTCCCTGGATGGATATCTTAAGTTGCCTTGGTCTTTTTCACACCTTGCACTCATGAGTGTCACATGCCTCAGAATACATAAAATGAAGACCTGATCCCATGAAGATGATCCTTGGATATAAGTGGAGTTCCAAATCCAAGTTCAGGAGAGTGCCTAGATTCTACAGGGTATTGAAAGAAGCTCTCTGGTCAGGAAGACAGCATAGATTATCTGATGTGGCAAAAGAAAAGGGTGAGGCTGGGAAATATTCTGCCACTCTCCTTCTACCCAAGTCCAGCTTCCCAGTGCATTTGAAAGGAAGGAAGAGGCTAGAGGCTGATGTTCAGATTACCCAGGTAAAAGGTGTAATGCCTGACCAAACAGCACAGGTTGAAGATTTGCTGCCTTTTAAAAGTTCAATTGTCTTTGTAGGCCAGCAGACTTCATGAATTATACAAATGGCAGAGGGAAAACCTAGAGGGGGAAGAATATGTGCTCCATGATGGACCACCCTATGCTAATGGGAAATTACATCTTGGTCATGCTGTCAATAAGGCAAGTCTGCTCTCTCACTCTTTCAGTTTGCTAACATTGATTGGAAATCTTTTTGCTGAAATAGATTTTGAAGGATATTACAATTAGAAAGAAGGTACTAGAAGGGAGAAAAGTTCATTTTGTTCCTGGCTGGGACTGTCATGGTCTCCCAATTGAGCTGAAGGCAACTTCTGGGAAATCCCTTTCCCCTATGCCTTCCTTAGATGTTCGGAATGCAGGTAATTTTAGTCTTGTCAGTATTTACTAAGTTGTTCCCTCAATTTGATCCCATATGCTTTGAAGAACCTTGTTGTGTTGGCTTGGTTGCTGCCACAGCTCGAGCCTTTGCCAAGGAAGCAGTCAAAGAGCAAAAGGAAGAATTCATGCATTGGGGAATCATGGGAGATTGGGAAAATCCCTATTTTACCTTTACCAAAGAATACATGGCCCAAGAACTCATGGCATTCCATGAACTCTACCAAAAAGGCCTCATCTATCAAGATCTGAAGCCTGTTTATTGGTCTCCTTCTTCAAAGTAAGACCTTATTTGTCTCTTGCCTTGTCTCTCTACCTGCATTATCCTCTCTATGTGTTTCCTCCTTGCTTTTAAGGACTGCACTTGCTGAAGCAGAGTTGGAGTACAATGACAAGCATATTAGTCAATCTATTTATATGAAGTTTCCATTAGTATCTGATTCAATTCCATCATCCTGGAATTTGCCAAGGGAGAACTGCAGTGCTTTGGTGTGGACAACAACTCCATGGACAATCCCTGCAAACAAGGCAATTGCATTCAACCCTTACTTGTTGTATTCATTTGTGAGGAGTACTCATGACATACTGTTGTTGGCAAGAGACTTAATTCCATCTTTGGAGAATGTCCTTCAAACTCAGCTCCATGAAGTCATGTCTTTACCAGGTAAGGACAGGCTACTGTTACTCTGTATTTATTGTTTCATCTCTTGATGGGAGTGGTTGCAAGTGTCATAATGTGCCATGATCCCAGGGGAAGAATTGAGGAAAATTAAATATACTCATCCCTTGAGGGGAAAGGAAGAAGGCCTACCTTTCCTTTCTGGAGATCATGTGACATTGAAGAAAGGGACAGGGCTGGTGCATACAGCACCTGCTCATGGCCATGATGACTTCCTCCTTGCCCGATACCATTCCATCCCAATAGTGAGTATTTTTCTCAACCATGGTTATGTTATTGGGAAAGTATGACTGGAATAATAAATCATTACATTTTGTGATTGTAGGAACATCTTGTGGATGAGAATGGTTGCTTTACATCAGGGGCTGGACCTAATCTGGAGGGCAAAGCTGTTCTAGATGATGGGAATGCTCATGTCATGTGTGCCTTGAGGAATTTTATTGTGAAGGAGGAGGATTATGAGCACAGCTATCCATATGACTGGAGGACAAAGGAACCAGTGATCATACGAGCCAGTCTTCAGTGGTTCTTTGACACTGACTCAATCAAAGCTCAAGCTCTGGTATTGTAGGCTTAGTGATCCTTTATATCTGAAAGAGAAACAATTTAATATTCATTCCTACTTAGCTGATGATACCTTCCTGATAGGAAAAGCTATCAAGTGTGAAGATCCTTCCTGAGTCACTGCAGGTTGGAATGGTGACTCAGCTGGAAAAGAGACCATATTGGTGTATCTCTCGTCAAAGGGCTTGGGGAATCCCCATCCCAGTGTTTTATCACCTATCTACAAATGAGCCCATTATCAACAAGTTTGTCCTCCTGTTAAATCCTCTTTCAGAAACTCATGAGTTCTCCATGATTTTCACACAGAGAACTCATTGACCTGCTCACTGTTTAACCCAATGTTACCCTGTTGTGCATGTACCTTGTGTAAAAAATATTAATCATCAACCTCCACTATGTCCTGCCTGAATTCGACTGTGTCCATGCATATCATCATGGGGTGATTCCATGATAAGACACCCAATGGGTAACACTCCACCCCCTCAGAATTTGATTAAATTTGTCAGATAGGGTTCTCCTGCTCTCAAAACCCAAAATGTCAACTTTCACCTTGACTGATTGAATAGGTCAATTGCTGTAACTCAAGAACTACCTAAGCTAGAGACTCAGGTAAGGCATCAATACGTTGGAAATTTCATGAGAATTTAAAAAAAAAAGGAGAAATGTTCCACTTAAACTACAAACACATGATATTATTCATCAACAAAATATTTGACTTTTGACCTTGGGATGGAATTATTTAAATAAAATTCTAGAAAAAAAAATTTAGTTTTGGAAACGAAATGCAACTACTTTGCAATAGGCATAAACATTCATTCTTTTGTATTCCAGGCAAGGACCATCTGGTCCTGGCTATTTCTGCATATCAAATTTTGTTCATTTAATAGAACAGCATGTTCTTATTTGCAGGTCAAAATGGAGAGAGTTGGTAGCATAAGAAATTGTAGTTACAGGGATAGTAATGTCATAAAAAAATAGCATGCAAAGAAAATGGGACTGGGATGTGCTGCTGAGACTGACTGAACTTACTGTTCCTAAGAAAAAATTCCCCTCTCTATAATTTTGGATGACTACCTTCATCACTGCAGTGATTTTCGCTCACAGAAAGAAATGTTATATCACCTTTGGAAAACATAAAACTTCTGAAGCATTTGGACCCAGATGATTGAACTTGCCCTCTGCAATAAAGTCAAAGCTGTACCTGCAGCTATGCCAAGGTAGAAATTTTACATTGAACACTTCATACATGGTGTTTCAGTCAATTTACCACCATTTCAGAACTCTCTAACTTCTAAAGTATAGTAGCTACCATGACAACTTGTATGCCATTAAATAGATCACACTTCAATTTTTTTTTCAAGTAAGGTTCTTTGCAAGATATGCTAAATGTGACCACCAAATATGTTGATGGCAACACTGGTTGTCCACCATGTGAGACACCAGATCACTGTCGATTTGACAGACGCACTTCATTAAGGCTTGCTTCAGTTCAGGAATAGACTGGGTAGCTCTTGAGCACATTTTCCTCAAGATATCCCCAATGGGAAAAAAGCCATGCAGATTTATTATCTGAGCTTGATTTAGGAAGATTTGGGGGCCACAACAAACCACAGTTAAATATGTCGAGATATCAATTCAAGATGACCCATTCACAAAACTATTGAGGAAATAAAGAAGATCGTGTGTTGCATGCAGACAAGCACCATCCTGTTGGAACCATATGTTCTCTTAGGTGCAGTGGTCATTTTGTCAGCTCAGGCAGAAAAAATGCTTGCAACACGTTCAGGTTACTTTCAAGAGGTCACATAACCATTGAAGAAGTGCAGCCCCATTATCCCTTGCTTTGACACAGCACACCACACCAAGACTTTCTTGGAAGGCCTCTTTAATCAATAAAATTATAAAATAGATCTCAGACAGTAACTCTTCTGCAGCAGATAATAATGCATGGAAAATCATACAAGAATTTGTAGAGATTGAGATTTTATTTTTATCAGGTAATGATGGATACTTACAACAGAACAAAGTTAGTTCTATTCTGGACTTAGTTTTGCAAATTGAGATAATATGATAAATAATCTTAACTAGGAAACTTTTAACATTTAACAGTTATAATATGAGATAATTGTCTTACAAGGTAAAATATTAAGAATTAACCCCTTGACTGTTGAGTCTTTTAACACGCTGCATACCTTTCACATACATTTTTTTGTGATTAATGAGCATCTTTTTATTTCCTAATAAACTTTGAAGAAAAATGATTGGAAATTGGGAGTTTATGAAACATTTTGAAAATTTTAGAAATTGAATGATTTTGATTCAACTGTAATTCATTAATATCTTTTTCAGCAATTTCTTGCAGGACTCTAATCATGGTGTGTTTGTAATTACAGCTGATATTTTCACAATCTAGGGCATAGGAGGGCTTCAGAATGGATCTGAGAGATGGCAGAACATTGAAGGTAAACACATCAGGATTCTTGACAAAAGCTGCAACAGGCACAAAAATTGAACCTCAAAATGAGTATACTTGTGAGTAATGGTTAAGACCTGTCATGGACAAGCAAGTATACTCAGGCGTGACAGTCAAGGGGCTAATATAGAAGTAAAAGCATATTTTCTTGGACTGCAATAATGGTCAATTTCTAGTTAAGTTCAGTTAAGGTTCAGTCAATGGTAGGTTAGACCAATTTGCATATACTGTTATCCATTTATCTTCCATCCATCCAAATGAATATAAATGCAACTGGTGGGGAACTGGAGAGCAACAATGATTAGGCATAACTTTCTATCAAAATATTATGTTCTGATGACCATGTCTCAATAGAAATGTTTATAAAATGGAGATTGAGTTGAGACTTTTGAAATACCTTAGCGTTCAGTAGAATTTTACCAAAAGGACTCTTTTTCCCTCTCCTGAGATCTGTTTTGACAAGGGGTGTTGCCTAAATTCACTTTAACCCAAGGTTGGTATGAAACTGAGATGAGTTTTTCACTCATATAGTATTTGGAGAATGCAACCTTGCACATCTGTGAGCTCTCGGTATGGATTATTTTGTTTATCAAGAAACAAAATTAAAAATTATTGAATGGCCTGATAAAAGCTCAGTTAGTTAGTAGGGCCTATATCTCTCTTTCTTGTCTTCTTATCCCCTCTTCATACTGCTGCAGAATTCTTTTTGTAGCTGAACAGAATGCATTTGATATAAAATTCTTAGTTCATTGAGTAACAATATTTCTGGTAATGTAACTGGAGCATGATATAGACCTTTGGTCCTTTTTCTAAAAATCTATATTGTATAACTGGTCAACTTTGCTAACTTGCAGGTAATGGTGCAAGGAGCTTTCAATCTTCTTGCAAGTTAGCTCTTTCAAGCTGAGGTATTTTGGGGGGGGAAATGCAATATTGATTAATTTTTCTGTAAATTCACATTGACTTTGCAAGGACACAGCTGAAGAGTATGACATTGTATGACATGTTGTAGCATGTTCAAAGATGGCACATTTGTTATCCCTTTTTTTTTTCAAGGTCCCCTCAGTTTGATCTGGTATTGCATAAGATATGCAATACTTGGTTGATAAATGCTGCATAGATGGTGTAGTTTTGGGTTGTCTCCTTCATTGGGACTACACAGAGCTAGATGTCAACCTGCTGTGTTTGCCTATAAAAGGGCATGCAAGAGCTCAAAACTTTGGAGGGATAGTCCAGATCTCACTTGCTCTCTTTGAAAAGACAATACCATAATGCATGCATTTTCAATCTTTGAAAGACTCAAAAATTGTGCACATAAAACCATTTCATGATACTCTTCTTTACCCTATTACTTTTGGAGTGCCTTATACCATGCCATATAAGCTGTATGCCCCTCTTGAATAGGGAGACGATGGAACATCTGTTGGCATGCCTGAATGAGAATGGCCCAGATTTTTGGTGGACCCTTCCCCTTAGCTCCCTCCTACCGCTGGGTCTTCGTGAGATGGAAAAAGAGATAAGGAAAGGGGAAGACATTTTGGACATATGGTTTGACAGTGGCATCTCATGGAAGTTTGTCCTTGGTAATTGCAAAAGTAGTCACCTGCCAGCTGACCTTTACCTAGAAGGTGTAGATCAATTCAGAGGCTGGTTCCAATCTTCACTCTTGACATCCATTGCCCTCAATGGATTTTCCCCATATCAGTGAGTTGTGCTGAACTACAAATCAAAGGAATGGAACCTTTTTAAGATGCAATGTTATCTGATCTGGGCCCTGTTTTGCCTCTTTGTGTCCGGCAAGGTAGGCAGTTGTATGTGCATGGGTTTGTCTTGGATGAAGAGGGACAAAAGATGGCCAAGTCATTGGGAAATGTTATTTTTCCTCATAGCCTCACCCATGGTAGCAAGAAGGAACCTGCCTTAGGAGTGGATGCTCTCAGGTGATGAACATTAGTACTTCTGTTTTTGATGAAGAGTGTTGATATCATACCATGTTGGGATCATTTTATGCATCTTCTCTGGGATAATACAGGTGCTGGGTGGCCTGGTATGGTACAGGAGAGTCTCAGATCCGCATAGGATGTGATGCTCTCTCTAATGTGTCCACAAATCTTCAGAAAATACGCAATTCCTTGAGGTTTCTCCTTGGGAATCTGCATGACTGGAAGGATGAGAAGACTGTACAGTATGGTGACATGCTTCTCCTTGATCGATATGCTCTTGCTCTCCTTCATGGTTTCCATCATCAGGTGAATCTGGCTGTTCCTTCCAAAGTATATTGTAAGGTATAGTTTATTCTTCAATATTTTTACTCCTTTAACTGCATTGGCTGGGGAATCACATTGTTACTGTAATTTGCTCCCCATCTAAGTGTGGGTAATAAGTACATTTAACAAATCACTTCTTCATTGAACAATTAAGTACAGGGTGATCTAAAAATACTTAGAAAACTCAGGCATTAATTTTTAGTTTTGTTATGATTCATTCAAAACTGAATGAATAAATCCTCAACAATTCTGATTCAGCAACAGCTGCAGTTTTTTCTGTTTTCCACTGTTGTTTCAGCACCCTCATTGATCCTTGGTTGGCTGATAGGCCATTGTCAGTTATCTAACACCAGCATACAATCTACCACCTGTAACTGCTGACACATGCTTTCCAGTTGATTCACTGTCATAAGAATGAAAGACCAGTGCAATGACAGGCATTACAGCACTTGCTGTGTATGTTTGGAAATCTTCTCACACTTGGCAAGAATTATTAACTAAACCACATGAGCAATATTCAGTCATCATCTTGATCTCATTGATAAAAATTGCAAACCATTTACTTGAGTTTTAATCTCCTGGTCAGACACAAATTTTTGTTCCTCTCCCAGTTGGTTGTCATTTTTAGTCTCTTTTCATCATCTCATCAAGTAGTCCAATTTTCATCTTGTTAACGGAAATTTAAAAAAACCTTCATTGGCCTGAAAATTTTCCTAAAAATTTTTGTCACAAAACTAAAACTTTATATTTACCCATTGGAATATAATGACATTATGTCTCACTATGCATGCTCAATAGCACTGGAATACAGACCCTGCTCATGTTATTAGACTAAAGCAAGAAAAATGAGAAAAATCAACTGCACAAGCTCACAAATTTCTGGTTTTCTTTGGTCTTAAATCTTTTAGTTTCACCATAACAGTCTAGAGCATAAGCCTTGAAAATACTAGAAACATGGTAAAATATTACTGTAAATGTACCTACCACATGTGGACAAAACTAAGAAGTATGTTTCTTGGCATTTGACTGACCTTTGTGGTACAAACCAGATATATTTTATATCACTGGCTCAGCATTCTGTAATACCTGTTCTTCTCCAACATGGCACAAACTTGCTTTAAAGCAAAAACTTTATAATACTTGAACTTGAAATTTTCTCATTTTCTTGTCTGCATAATGATACTCACACCATGGACCTTCTGACTACTAAGTGAATTGATACAGTTATGTAAAGCTATAATCAAATGTCTTCTTCATGGATGAGTTTTAACAAAATCACCACCTGCATTCACTCAAACATAGGGAAAAATAGTATGCAAAATTCTTTAAGGGTGTCCATAAATTATCTGAAAAATTTTGTGATGTCACTGCTTCCAAACCAAAAAAAAAGAGAACATTCAAACTTGACACTTTTAAAAGGAATATGATTGAGTTTTTATTGGTGTGTTGGTAATCCTGAACCATTTAAGTTGCACACATGATGCATTGTGCAGTTTCATGTTGTCTCATGTGTTCCCTTCATCCATTCCCTGATTTTAGGTGGAGAGAGATTACAGTGCTTTCAGATATGATCGGGTGATTGTGAACTCTATGCAGTTCTTTGTGAACACCATCTCCACTTACATTCACTGGATCAAAGATAGGTCATCTCTCATACTGTAATTGGATTCACTTCCCTTCACATGTTCTATAGCCATTTTCTCTTTCTCTATAGATTGTACTGTGAAGGACAAGAATCCTTAAAGCGAAGATCATGCCAGACTGCATTGAGCAGAGTCCTTTATGTGTGTGTGCAGGCCCTTGCTCCCATTCTACCTCATTTGACAGAGGAAGTTGCCCTTCATTATCCCCATCCTTGGGCTGGTGTGTTATCATAGATCATAATTCATTTGGTTGGAACACATGTGTACAGGATTCATGCTCCCTTGCAGATGGAGTCTTCAGAAGCAAGTGGATAGGGGGAGAGGTGGAAGATGTTTGGGCAAACCAAGAAGTAATGGAGTGCATGAGGGAAGGCCTGAGAATCCAGTCTGCTATCAATATCACCCTTCCGTCCACTAATCTCCGTCACTGGGATGTGTACATTCGAACATCATCTCCTGCTCCTTTCCAGCATCTAAAAGTTTGTCAACCTCAGTATTACCAGATTCAAGTTTCTGCCTCATGAATACAGTTTAAAATGTTATTTCTTTCCTAGCTTCTACAAGCTGAAGGTTTTTCAACAGAATCTGAGTTATGTGACCTACTCCAAGTCTCAGGTGTCACAATCAGTAGGTCAAATTGGGAGCCCTTTCTGAGCCAGGACACAAATGAGGAGCTCCTGCAAGTAGAGTGTGGGAATGATATTGAGGTGTTTCTAGCCCAGGCTCATCTTCATCGTTGTCCTCGATGTCGCATTCATGCCTCCACTGCCCCTGGCATTCTCTGTCAGAGGTGTTATCATGTTCTTCCCTCACTTTCATGATTACTGGAGTTCATCAACATCCTGGAGGTGTTATTGTGCTTTCCTATGATGAATAGAATTGCATTTTCTTCTGTCTTCCCATCTTTGATAGTACCTTGTAGCTATTATTTTAGTCATTCTTCTCTTACTCTTATCTTATCCTTGATCACAGGACTATTGATGACAGAGAACCATACCATATATCTATGCATGACCAAATTATTTTTTACGATTTTTTTTAGTGGTTTTAGGTTTCACATGTCCTACATGTTGCCAAGAAACACATGAATTTTTTCCCAGATTTTTGCTCGCTTGCTACTGGTTGAACCAGGTGTGTGTTTCTAAACACCTCTGTGACTGTATGGGAAAAAAACAAGAAGAAAGTAACTCACGTATGTTCAGAAGTAAACCTGTGTATTTTGCTTCAGAAACATGGAAAACAACAAATCTACTTCGAATGGAACTGCCGAAAGCATTTCTGATTGCTGTTGAAGAACAAATTGACTTCACATTTTACACAGATCACTTATGATTGCATGGTACAGAATTCCATTCTATGCAGATTCTACAGGGCAGGGTGTATGAAAAGTCACCACATATACTAGGGTGTCTCAAAAGTTATTGTGCATATATGTACGTTTTATTTGATGGCATGTTTCGGAATAGAACTTAATTTGGTTGTATATGTGTTTGGTCCTATCTTGAAGCGCGTGTCAAGGCGCGGA